AGGGGAGGGAGTGTCAAGCCTAACCCCCAAGGGCTGTTTCCCTGTGAAGCTTTGCTTTGGAGGGGTTTAGGCCAACTGGTTGCTAAGCACCAAATGCAACGACAGCGCTAGGAAGCAGGAGGTAAACCAAGGGCTTTTTGAAGATTTCATACTCTGAAAACCTGTTCCTTGTAACACACCAAAATATTAAAATTCTTCTCAAACTTTAGTAGTATTGTCAAACTTAAATTCCATGTGAAACATGCCTCTCCTTAGGTGTCACTCCTGACATTTGGTGAGATACCATGTCATTAAGTCAGCAGACTTGAAAGACACAGGGGCTTGCCAGAGTGCCAAGAAATGCTGCAGTGATCATAACACTATAGTCTCACCCCCTTCTCAAAAGCTTCTTAGATAACCACATTAATCCTTGTAATTTCCATCATAATAGACTCAGACTTTCGGGCAGGGGTGGGTAGGTGGGGCTAGAGCTCCTAGGGTTGGTGGGAAAACAACCAATTTCTGAAGCTCAGCCACAGAGGCTGCCTTGCAGCTGGTCACATGGACACCTCTCCTGCCCCCCCACACTCCGGCTTCTCCTTGCCACTGCCCTGTGTTTAATGTGTTGTCTAGAGGAGCTGTAAGTTTTCAAGGAAGTGACTGGAGACCCAAGAACGTGGTAGAGACCAAGAAATTAAGAAGCTGGAGAAACTGTGGACTTGATTATGAAGTAGGATGGCTTAACAAGACAGGGCCAAAGGGTAGTAGCGCACATAAATGAAGGAACCCTCTTTCACAGTCACAGCCCCCTGGGAATTTTCCAACCTGCTTCAAAGTCCAGAAATTTTCATCCTTCATTCAATTTGTCACATGCATTTTTTTCCTAATCTAAATGCTCATTGGCAAATTGGTCCCCCTCCCTCTTCCTCTGTGTTATCTCCAGGGTCTCTAATCTGCCCTCACTGGACAACGAGAACTAGTGATGCTGATCAGAACAGGGTTTCAACCGAACAGCAACCTGGCAGGGTGCTATGGAAGGGTAAAGACAGCAATGATCAAAAGCATCTACAGCTCCGATTTACAACAGATACAGAGCTCACTTTTCAGACACCCCTTTCCAACTGTAATAGACTGAATTCAATTTAGAAAGTTCTGGATATTTTTATCAGTTGCGTGTAAGTGAACTATCTTCAAATTGAAACAAAACCATCTTTGGTAGTTAAGAAAAAACATTTGCAAGAGGCTTAAATGTACATTATTCTCAAGTGAGAGGTCTTATTTTTTTGGTTGTGAGCCTAGCCTTTAACAGCTGAGCCATCTCTCCAGCCAGAGAGGTCTAATTTTTTGTTTTGTTTTTGGAGACAGGTTTCTCTGTGTAGCTTTGGAGCCTGTCCTAGAACTCACTCTGTAAAACAGGCTGGCCTTGAACTCACATAGATCCACCTGTCTCTGCCTCCTGAGTGCTGATATTAAAGGCGTGCACACCAATGCCTGGCTCTATTTTTTTTTTTTTTAAGAACTTATTCCCCTGAAAGTGTAATATTTTCTGTGCATACAAAATTCCAAGTGCTGGAAAGCCACTGCCCATGTTTCTTACCTTTCCATACACACATGCTTCAGTTCCATACTGCCTTCTCAGATATGTGTCCAGACAACAGCCATGTAAGACAGGCATCCTTTCCCTCATGCAGAGGGCATGTTTGTTGTTACAACAGTGAGGAGTGAACAGGTATGTCACACACTCTTTTAAAGGTCTAGATTCCCAAGCTGAAAGTTCCTCTGTTGACATGCACATGTACCTGAGCCACTTGGCATCGCCCATGTGAAATTTGGAGGACAGGAGCAGTGTGGGTGACACAAAACTCACGCTGTACATGACAGGGGACTTGGAGCTAACAGCCCAGACGTGCCAGATTAGCTTGTACAAACAGAAAAACTTCATAGCTGAAACCATGAACTTTATAAAGAACACCATGTTACCAGACTGCCCCACTTCTCTCAAGAAGTGTATTGTAGTTCTAGCACAATGCAGTCACAGCATACTGTCTCTCAGTTTGCTACAAATGGGTTTACCTTGCAAACAGATGCACAATTAATTTAAGGTACACAGGTAAGGAGTCAAGGGTTGGTGTGAGTAGGTACAGAGTTCAAAGGGAAAGGACGTTATTCTAGGCGGTGCAGATAGTCCAGGAAACATTTCTTAGCTGGGCATGGTGGCACCGGCCTATAGTTGAAGCTGTTCAAGAAATTTAAAGAGGATTATGAGTCCAGGAATTTCAGGGATGGTTCAGAACATGTAATAGCTCATCTCAAATAAAAATTTCTTTATTCATTTTTGAGGTTTTGGTTTAGTCCCACCAAACATTGTTTAAAGAAAATTAATTATGGTCCTGTCGCCCTCTACTGGAACCAGGCTGGAAAATACCGGGAAGCTGTGTCCTTTAAAATCTGCTTACATGGAAGTGGTGGCCACAGTTACCATTATGCATGGTTTTGCCCTGGAGGGATGGTCCTTCCCACACCAGCCTTTATTATGTAGCAGCCACTGACAGCCCAGCTCTTAGCAGCATCAGCGTCCCCGCCTTTCATGGTTCCACTGCAAGAAGCATCCACCAGCTTCGCTCTTGGGGGCAGCAGTGGATCTGGACACAGCAAAGGCAACCTTGCCTCCTGGTATCAGAGTATGCCACTGTCATGTCAAAGGGCAGAGTGCCAAAAGCCCCAACCTTCAGGGAGATGAAATGTCACCCTATCTGTATCACAGAACAGTAGTATCCAGATGTTTTCATCATGCACCCAAAATCAGAAAAAGATATATAATGCACCAATAAATGTATTATTTATTTATAAATTATATAAGTGTACAACTGTACAATATATTATGTACATTATAAAACACACAAAAATAGAAATTTAAAAGATGAGATTAAATACAAAGAATCATTATTTTAACATTTTCTCAATGGACTTATTATCTGCATACCCCTGGGATGTACACACCTGCCTGAAACCAGTCCTAAAGCATGCCCATGAACGCTATTTGGATTTTTAGCTCAGTTACAGGAAAACGTACAAGATCATGTTTGTTTTGTTTCTGAAGGTCTGTAAATAGCCCTAGTGTCAAGTTTAAGAGTATGATGATGCTAACATCTTGGGACACATTTGAACTAATCACTGCACTGATAAAATGTCATGCTCCAGTTCACAGATAGCTGTTTCACTTTAAGGCAGACTAAATAGGGGAATCATAGAGTTGAGAAAATGCTTCAAAAAAGAAGCATTTAAAAACAAAGGACGAGTCTTGCTTTATCCAAAGAGGATAAGGGGGTGGACAAAGGCCAACTAACTCAATAGCTAGTTCCTAAAATAATAATAATTCCTCTGCCTAGTGAAAAGATAAGGGAGGCGTTCTAAATATTAGCCACCGTGCCAAAGGAAAAATATTAAAATGAATGCCCACCCATGTGCTGACCCAAGCCAAGTTAAGTTCTTAAACAAAGAGGATCCACATAGCTACAGTGCCTAAGTCACAGAGCCTGGACATGGGAACTTAGTAAATACATGATAAACAATCCCTCAAAAATATGTAGGGTACCGAAGTGCATTTGAAATACAAATTATTACTAAACAACACTCCAGTGTATGGTAGGAGCTAGCTGGAGCAGATACCTGAATAAATGTAGTAAATGTGTTCAACACCAGGTGTGGTGGCTCTTGCCTGTAATCCTATCACTCACTCAAGAGGCTGAGACTGGAGGATCACAAGGTCCACGACCTGGGCTACACTGTTGAGTTCAAGGCCAGCCTAGGCTATATAGTGAGGCTCTGTCTCAAAAACACAAAAATAAAACCAGAACATGCTAAGAAAGTCTCAATACATTCATAACATGCAACTCCCTAGTTCCACATGGGGGTTGGCATCCTACTCCTACACCTCCTATAGGGCCCGAGATTCCCAGCAAACAGTAGAGTGGTACTATGCCACAGCCTGTCCTTCTCCACCCTTCAGTGTATGCTGGGAAAGGCAGAGTAGAGAACAAGAGATTGCTCCAAGTGCAGAATCTCATCCAACGTGCTGGATTCTCTTCAAAATACCACAAAATTCTGGAGAACATAAACATCTGAATAATTTTGAGTCTGAAGCCTCAGTCGGGTCTTAACAATGCTAACTTTGGCACCTGCCACACTTTCAACTGGTGGAAAGTCTCCTTGTGGAAGGCTGTATTTTGATGGGTACTTTGCAAATTTAGATAAAAAATATTACACAATGTAAATAACTTAATTTCATATGTAATCAATTTCACTCTGTATGTGCATACTATGTTTTCACCTATATATTCATTTATTCTATTGACAGAATGTCAGAGTTTTGAATAGGAGTAAAAACAAAACAACACTCAAAACGTTCCTTTCAACTAAAATGCAAACCAGGACAAGTCATTAATCCCATTGTGGAGAAAAAAGGGATGTGGAGTTTGGTGACTGAGTAGAGATGAAACCCCAGCTGAGGTTGTTCACCTTAAGTCCCTGGTTCAAGGAAAATGTTCTTTAGGTTGGGATTTCCAACGATGGAAGACATGCTGTTTTTGTAAGCATGGTGCTTTTACCAGGCTGTAAAATGCTCACCAGAGAATAAGCCAGTTGTTTGAATGAGCCCTGTATACCCTTTTAGAGGGAAAACAGCCACCAGAGGAGAGTTTTCTTGAGCTATCAGAAAAGCTATGAAATGCAAATACTACAATTCTACTTCTTCAGTTTCCTCTGGCCTCTCTCCTTCACCTGACACAAGCTGGTTCACTCCGTCACACTTAAATGTCTAGCAGCTGCAACCAACACTGAAGCTTCCCAGTAATATCTGATTTGAAAGGCAAAGTCACACACTTACATTTAAACAAAACAAATGAATCAGACCCTCAGTAGCATAGGAAGGGAGGGTCTCATTCAACCAATGAGCAAGGGTCTAGTAAATCTTCAATTGTTAAGTATTACACCTTAAATTTAAAACAACAACAAAAAATTCATATTTTTGGTAATCTTCAAATTTTATTTCCAACTACTATAGTAACAAAATACCAGTGATAATTCTGCACGGAAGAGTAGCAACCTTTTAAATAAACAAGGTTGTAAGTTAGTATTGCAACAGTACTTTGGCCTATGGAGAGTTTGATAGGATTATTGCAATCAGTCTTATAGAATTGTAGACTTGTGTGTCCTCCATATCTAGTAATAAAAATACTCTCACCTCAGTGACTCATCACATACACATTTACTCTATGTTGAGCACTACCCTTGAGGTTGTACTAAATGAGAGAAAAATAGCTCTTCCTCCTGGGTTGTCCAAGAGTACACAGAGATAGCAGTCACTTCCACAGTGAGGTACAATATTAAACTTTTAGTTGAAAAATAAAAGATTACCCTATTTATGCCCTTTCTCTAGGAGTAAAAAGACAAACACAATTACATAAAATGAATCAAACTTCTATTTTATTAACAGGAGTCAAAAATGAATACAAAAAATGCCTCCTTTGTATGCTGTATTTATTTCTTTAGAAGGCTTCTGATAGTCAGGTAGATTAAAAGCTAAGAATGTTGTCCAGCTTCTATAGTGACCCTTTTCAAAAGACTGAATAACATGACTCAGGCATCAGAGAACACATGGTCCCACAATCACTTTCCGCCCTGAGCTTATCAGAAGAATGAGATCTGGCGATGAGACACCAACAGAGGCTTTAAGAGGCCTTAGGCCATTGAAAGCCACTTTTGTAATGTTTGCTGACTCTGGGCAATTAAGAACGGAAAATTCCAAAATGTAGCCCTCTGTATTGTGTGGAATGTGTGAGAATGCTAAGTTATGGCCAAGATAGATGAAGGTTTGAACTTATGTGTGGAACTGTTACAACTTTACCATTTGTAAAATATTGATAAATGAACAACAGAGCTTATTAACAGATTAAAAACTTGAGCAGATGTTACTTAAAACATATTTGTGATGTTTATCATATTTTAATGTTTACTAAAACTAAAGCTGAACAAAGAAGATTGTTTTTCATGTACCTTGACTCTGACTGAGACCATAAACTGATCAGGTAATGCACAGCCCACACTTCTGGACAGTTGTTAACAACAAAGGATTTATTATCATTTGCAGATGATATAAACGCACCACCCCATACCTGAAAGGCTTTAAATAACCCCTTTTCAGACTGTACCATGGCACCACCAACTGCCTATTTTATGTATCCATTTCTAGTAAAGATGCCAACATTTCCTTCCCTCCACATCAGTTCTCCACTGCTTCTGTTTTGTTACAATTTACAAAGCAGCAGATGTTTGCAGATATGTGCAAACGCTGTGGTCCACACATACACTGGTTAGTCATCACCTTCCTCTTCCTCCTCTTCTTCCTCAAAGCTATCTTCAAACCCCTCACTGTCTTCCTGGTCTTCATCACCTTCTATTGCTGTATCCCACTGTGGGTGGTTTTCTGGCACAGGCTTGGCCTCATGAACTTCCAACTATAAAGAAGAATTAAATGCACATCAGAAATTTGGAAAGGAATGATGGAAGAAATACCTGGTAAGTCACAAAGAAATGGATTCTGTGGCTGACTCTAAATTCAGCACATTCATTAAAAAGATACTCCATTCTACAAATGAAAATACTAAACCTACTTACACAGAAATGGAGACGAATCTCTACTGTAATTTGGTATTTTGACCCTGTAGAAGTTGAACCATTTAAGAATATACTTCTATAGCACAAAGTACTAACAGCCCTGTTTCCTGTCCAAGTGGTATCTTATTAGAAGTCTTTGGCTGAGGAAGAAAAATTCAAGCATGTTTTCCAAAGATTAGCTGGGAGGTGAATTCCATGGCTGGTGCAGCTCTTTCCTCTAACAGTGGAACAATGATTTTGCTCAATCTCACTAATGTAATAGAATGCCTTGTACGAAAAGCTCAAGGGAAATGAAGACTAACTGTGCTTCAAGCCATACATAAAGTTTATGCTCTAAGATGATTAAAACCAAAACAAAAAAATCCTTCATTTCAGAAATCAATAAATACTCCAATAAAGCCAGTGGTAAAAATCTGAGTCCTGCTCCTCCCCACCCCCTCCAACCTTTTAAAGAAAACAGAACATATCTGGGAAAGCCCTGCAATGTGCCACATAACACATTAAAACATCCACGAAAGTAACTCAGAGTTGAGGTCCAAAGCTTCTTAAAGAACTATTACTAAGAAAGCAGGAGATGACCGCTTTTTCCTCCCATCATTCTACATCCTAAAACTGTACTGCTTCCCACACCTCCTCGGGCATTTGTTCAAGGGGTACCAGACTCACATCTCCAGTAACTAGTCATTTGTTTTACATCACTATTCTTACCTTCAGTGGTTTAATCTGATCCAAACCCATATAGGAATCTGATCTCAGGAACACTGTATACTGATAATTTCCAGGTTTGCCTGGCGCAGGAAACTTCAGTTCTACCTAAGAAGATAAAATCAATCCTTAAAAGTCTGTATTATGCAAAAGCAGCAGCAGAATGTCATTAAACTTCCTACGTTAGAGTACTTAGGAGCCTGGTGGTCCATCAGATGACTTACAGAAACTCTCCCAATTAACAAACAAAATGAGTGAGCTCTACTGTATCTACTATAAACACTAAACAAAAAGGAAGCCAAGTTAAGCAGAACTACTGGGGTTCATTTCTATGTTCACAATTCAAGAAGGCCTCGAAACTCAAAAAAAAAAAGGAAAAGGAGCAAAGAATGACACTATGACTAAATGAAATGTTGAATTAAACAATAGACTTGGCTAGATTAAAAAATAATTCTTGACAAATTCTCTTATTTCCAGGATAAATTATCTATGCCTTTAAAAATCAAAAAGACCCTCCAAGGCTCTGAGAAGATGGGGCAGAAAGAATAAAAGAGCCAGAGTGGGGAGATATGCTGCAAAAATAACTCTTGAGGATATGACTAGAGCCACTGGACTCTCAGCTCTTCACAAGAGTAGACTTCAACAAGGCCCCACAACCCAAGGGACTGTTAATAGTTCCTGGGGGACAAGGGTGTCATTTTTTCAGTGGTTAAAGTTGCTTACACTCCAGTAAATAGCCTTCCACCCATGCTCATATAAGCATCCTAATTAAACTTGGTGGGAACACGAACACATGAGAACACACACACACACACACACACACACACACACACACACATATGTACATACATTGGGAAAGGGGTTTCAGAGGGCAAGGGAAAGAATCAGAGGGGACAATGCAGAGATAAAAACAAGTAAAATTCATTATATTTACATATGAAAACCCAAACTATAAAAACAAATTTTAAAAGAATTACATATTTCCACTCAATTATATTTCAGAAAATAATTTATTAGTTTTAATGAGGCCCTTTACCACCTAATACCTAACCACTGCAGAAAAATAAAATATAAATTATAGGAAACTACACAAAAGTCCAAAACAGTATTTTTATTTCTCATTAAATCATAAACATACATACAAATAAGTATCATAACATAGACTTAGAGACTTCAATTCTTTATGAGCATAAGAATACATTATTTAAAATGACATTTTCATGTGTACTAGCACATGAAATCTGCCTCTTATCTCCAAATTTCAGATTTTTGTAGCCAATGTTATATATTAATAAAGGCCATTAAAAAAAAAGCTGGCCATTGTAATGCAAATCTATAATACCAGAACTTGGAAAACTGAGACAAGAAACAAACTAGAAAGAAGTATTTGTTGTTGTCTTTTCTCCCCTAAGACAGGGTTTTTCTGTGTTAACCGCCCTAGTTGTCCTGGAATTCACTCTGTAGAGCAGGCTGGCCCCAAACTCACAGAGATCCGCCTGCCTCTGCCTACCCAGTGCTGGGATTAAAGGCGTTCACCACTACTGCCCAGCTTTTTTTAAAGACTGATTTCTTCATAGTAAGAGGGAAAAAATCCAAACTAATTTAAACAATCAAATAAAAATGAATAATGGTAACAACCATACATACAAAAATAAGTCCTGACCACACTGGTGGTGTCCAGTTTCACTCTTAAACTGAAACTATACTGAACAAACAACATACTAAAAATTGATTTAAATAAAAACCATTGCTGTGTACTAAACATTTGGTAAAAATCTTTGGAGAAAAGTATAATGCTGAAAATAACACACCACAGAGAAGATTCCCCAACCACCCTAGAAATATGAAAACCTTACTGCTACAAATAGGAAGCAAACAAATACAATGGGTAAAACATGACACATATGACTAGTAAGAAATATAATGAGTAAGCAATGAAACAAATTACACTGTGTTCTAACAAAACGCCTTGCTAGGATTTTGAAAAAGAAAACAGAGTGGCTGGAAGTATAACTCTAGTCAAGCCCATGTTTGGCTGACATCCAGAGTAAAAAGGATCTAAAAACAAAAAACAAGTGTAATCCTCCATTAGATTTTGAACTGGAAGTATTATGGCAGACCTGTGTGGAAAATGAGCATGAACTATGACACTGCACTACATCAGTATTGATTCCTGGCTAACAACTGCATCGTGCTTATGGAGGAAAAGATTATGTGTAACTCTGGAGATCCATATCCAAATTTTATTGTTAGAAGAAAAAAGAAAGGAAAGGTTGTGAAGAATGGTATTTGCTGATTTTTGTGTAAAATCTGGGGAGGGAGAATAACCCTTATTATTATTTGCATGAAATGCCACGAGGAAAATACATTAAAAATTGGTTGTTGGCTGTTAGGCAGTGGCGGTGATGTACCCCTTTTATACTAGGGCTCAGGAGACACAGACAGACAGATCTCTGAGAGTTCAAGGCCAGCCTGATCTACAGAGCTAGTTCCAGGACAGCCAGGGTCACACAAAGAAGCCCTGTCTTGAGAAAACAAAAAATAAAATTGGTACCATGAACTGTCTACAGGTAGAGGACAAGGCAAGCAGGGTACCTGAAGGGCTGCAGACTGGTTGTGGAACCAGGCCAAAAGAGATAAACACACTGAAAGGAGTTAGAGACTTGAAGAGCGTTTCACAACAGACATGGAGATGCAGAATTTAGAGTTTGCCCTTCTGGTTTTCAGTCTTGAGGTGGTCCAATATTTCTTTACTATGTTCCCCTTCTTTTCTTTTGAAATGGCAATGCACATTCTGTGCCATTGTATATTGGAAGTATGTGATTTACTTTTTGATTTTTATTTTACAGGGGATTACAGTTAAGGAGACTGCCATGAGTCTCAGAAGAGGCTTTGAATTCTTAAACAATACTGAGACTATGACAAAGTACAGGCATTTTTGAAGTTGTACTGAATGAATTTTTCTATTGTGATATGGCTATAAACCTACAGGGGACAGGGAGTCAAGTGTGGTGGTTTGGTAAAGAATAAACCCCATGGACTCACATATTTATTTGAATGCTTAGGCACCAGGGAATGGCATTATTTTGAGGAAGATTAGGAAGTGTGGGCTTGTTAGAGAAAGTGTGTCACTGGGTGTGGGCACTGAGGTTTCAAAATCCCAGTGGGATTTTGGACTTACAGATCAGGATGTAGCTTTTAGCTACCGCTCCAGCACCATGTGTGCTGCCATGCTCCCTGCCATTATGATAATGTACTAAGCCTCTGAAATCGCAACTCAATTAAATGCTTTTCTATGGTCATGGTGTCTCTTTACAACAACAGAACAGTAACTAAAACACTCACTTTAAATCTGGATCATTGAAGGCCAGAAGACCCACCCTAAATCTGGATCACACCTTCTGGTAATAGCCTATAGAAAGGACATGGAAGAAAGCATCTTTTGCTTTTTATCTGCTTGTCCTCATTCTCATTGGCAAGTTTACATATTTTGTTGCTGAGGAATGCCTTCACTGGCATTAGAGCCTATTTCTTCTTCTTTTTTTTTGGTGGTGGGGGGGGTTTCGAGACAGGGTTTCTCTGGCTTTGGAGGCTGCCCTGGAACTAACTCTTGTAAACCAGGCTGGTCTTGAACTCGAAGAGATCCGCCTGCCTCTGCCTCTGCCTCCCAAGTGCTGGGATTAAAGGCATGTACCATCACCACCACCCCGCCCTACAGCCTACTTCTTTGGGATTCCAATATATACTGAAGACCATCTTGAGACATACAGCTTTGTGGACTGAACAACTACTGGATTCTTGGACTTTCTGTCAGGTCACAGGCACTGTTGGACCAGCTGGACTACAGCCTGTAAGCTCCCCCCATTCATCCTACCGGTTCTCTCCTCTAGACCTCTAGAGAACCTCGACTAACACACTAAGTCCAGGCTGACAGAGAGAGCTTTCTCCCTTAAAAAGGATCACACACAGCAAGATAGAGTACAACAGAATACAGTTCCTGAGAGTAAACATAAAACATAGTGAATGAGCAACTCTGCATCCAATAATGATGCAATTATTGGAAGGTGATGGGCTACAGGAGGTGGGCCTTAGCTAGAGGAAGTAGGTCACAGGAAGGGTGTGCCTATGAAGACAACATCTGGCCCTGGGCCCTTCCCTATCCTCTCTACTTCTTGGCTACCCTTAGATGAACAAGTTTATTTCCATGTCTTTACCTTGTCATGGAACTAAAAGTAACTGACTATTTGCCAAACATGGATGAACCTTCTAAAATTAATCCTCCCTCCCTTAAAAAGAATTATTTTCATTCTGAATTGATGTGTGTGTATTGTACATACACAAGTGCAGGTACTTGGAGAGGCCACCAGATACCCTGGAACTAAAGTTACAGGCTAGCAGGAGCCATCTTAAGTGAGTGCTGGGAATCAAACCAGGATTCTCTGAGAGCAGTATTTACTCTTAACCACTGACATCTTCTCTAGTCCTCCCTTCTTTAATTCTTTCTCTCAGGTACTGGTCACAGAGACAGACAAACAAAAAATAAAAACAGGGAGAGCAGAATAACTAAATAAAAAAAAAAAATTCCAACCTAAAACAGTAAATTACCAGTTCTTTGGTTTTTCAAGGCAAAGTATAGTCTACTTAGCAGTAATCCAACAAGAACAAAATTTTAACCCTGTGTGAGGGTGTCAGGTCCCCTGGAACTGGAGTTACAGACAACTGTGAGTTGTCATATGGGTTCTGGGAATTGAACTTGGGTCTCTGGAAGAGTAGTCAGTGCTCTTAACTGCTGAGCCATCTCTCCAGGCCATGATTTTTAACTTTTTAAGTAAAATATCATTAGAGTCTAGAGAGTAGACATAAAGGCTTGCAGACAGTGTTTGCAGACAGTGATGGGGAAAATTGCCTCAAAACAAGTTTTGTTTTCAGCACACTGACCAAGTTGCCCACCTTCTACAATTCTTTAGGAATTTCCAATGAGTCAGCCTAAAATATGAGATAACAATTTTAAAATTTCTTACATCAAACAATATGTAAGTTGCTGTGGAATAATCCTTCTGTATACTGTGAACAAAATTACTCTCATTGGTTAATGAGAGTACTGACTGGCCAGTAGCCAGGCACTAAGTATAGGTTGGACAGTTAAACTGAGAATGCTGTGAGAAAGAAAGGAGAAGTCAGTGAGCTCACCAGGAGACACAGAGGGGCAAGGCATGCTGGAGGACAGGTAACCCCCTGAGCCATATGTCAACATATAGTTTAACAGAAATGGGTTAATTTAAGTTCTAAGAGCTAGTTGGTAATAGGCCTGAGTTATCAACTGAGCATTTATAATTAATATTGAGTCTCCATGTCAGTTATTTGGGAGTTGATGGCTGGGACAGAAACCTACTGCTACAATAAGTTGCCTGGTATGGTAATGCAAGTCTGTAATCCCAAAACTTGGGAAATAGAGGCAGAAGGATCAGGAGTTCAAAGCCAGTAGGGAGCCTGAAGCTAACCCCAACAAAAACGAACAAATAAATGCAATGAGAAAATCACAATAAATTGAATTAATAAAAACGTAATGAAGCCGGGTGGTAGTGGCACATGCCTTTGATCTCAGCACTTGGGAGGCAGAGGCAGGTGGATCTCTGTGAGTTTAAGGCCAGCTTGATCTACAAAGAGAGTTCCAGGACAACCAGGACTATTACACAGAGAGAAACCCTGTCTCCAAAAACCAAAACAACAACAAAAAATTTTAATGAAGCATAATGAAGTTTAAGATATTAAAACAGAAATATTGTTGGCTAATTACCTCTTCTGTATCCTTCAGTGTACATACATGATATGGCATGGATATTAATGTTTGTTCTTTCCTATCTGCAATATAAAGCCACCACCACTCTTGTTTTTCCTGCAAAGAAAAAAAAAAAAGAGCAAGAATTGTCAGAAAGGACTAGAGAAACAGCTTTAACTGTTTTATTTTAAGGGTGCTATCCTTGTCCTTTTAAGTGCTACATCTTCAGCACGGATACAGTGCCTAGCAGATAAACAAACTGTACTAAACCACTGCAAAATACATGCACTATGCCCCAAATAATTCTATGCGTAACTTTCGGAGTTTCAACAAATCCATTAAACCTGCTAATGGATCTCAATATTAAAAATCCATGATTCAAATGTTAAAAGATAGAAAGATAGTCTAAAAAGGAAAACTATTATATCATACAAAAATCAGTTATTTGACCTAGTGATAAGCAAAAACCAATGTATGAGTAGAAGAGACTTGGGCAGCCCAATAAAAATACCAATGCATTAAACGCTTTACACTTAAAGCTTGTATCTATCTTTCATTGCACACTACTAATTTAATAAGCTCAGCATTTCTAGGTGAACTTCCAAAAGATCAGAACAACAAAATGCTCATTAGGAAACCACCACTAGAATGCACAATGAGAGCTAGGAATTAGAAATGATAGAACAAAAGGCAAAAAAAAAAAAAAAAAAAAAAAAAAAAAAAAAACGTAAACAAAAAAAAAAACCGAAACAAAAAAAAAAACCAGATTTTACTCATGAACCCAAGGCCAAGCAGTCTGCATGCACCACGCCTCAGTGCCTCAGTGTACCCATCGCCATCACTGGGCTACATTTCCTATTAGTAAATCACTGCTAGACCTGTGCTTGGTATTACTTGTTTTAAGCACTGAGTAGGGAAGATACCGGTTTTAAAGAAAAATGCTGGGTGCTAAAAATAAACTCTAAGATGTACCAAAATATGACACTATCATATCCTAAACACTCAATTTTCTAACACTTAAAAAAAATTCTATTGATAGGAACAAAGATATCCTGTTTTAAAAAGGAAAAAAAAAACTGAAATAATTTCTCTGGGAAATATTTCTATTTTTAAACCCCAATCTTTTCCATTTTTTTTTTTTTTACCCTTTAAGGTGACTTACTAACATTTTTTGCTTACTTGGTTATCTTTTTCTTTTTTAAATGCTTACTTTTTTTTTATGTTTGTATGTATGTTGGTGTATGTATGTTATGATGCATATGTGGCAATCAGAGGGAAACCAGTGGAAGCAATCCTCTCTGTTAGTTACATGTGGATCCCAGGTCAGTGGGGCTAGCAACAGGTACATGTACTTGCTGATCCACCTCACTGGCCCTTCTGTCTTTCCATTATTACTTGTATATATTTTTTAACAATGTTATTTTATTTTTTAACAGTTTCTTTTTTAATATTTTATTTATTATGTATACAACATTCTGCTTCCATGTATATCTGCACACTAGAAAAGGGTACCAGATCTCATAACGGATGTTTGTGAGCCACCATGTGGTTGCTGGGAATTGAACTCAGGACCTCTGGAAGAGCAGTCAGTGCTCTTAACTTCTGAGCCATCTCTCCAGCCCCAACAATGTTACTTTAAATGCAACTAAAAGCTCTTCTGTTAAGTGCCATGGGCCACAAAACATCATGATTAAGGCTAGTAAGTAAATCACAAATGTGCAATGATGAGAGCAGCTCCTAATAAAAAAAGTTAAGTTCCGCTTGAGGATTGATGAGGCTGCAGGAGGATTACTGGGTGTGTGTGTGTGTGTGTGTGTGTGTGTGTGTGTGTGTGTCATACATATATAAAGTTTATACAAACCTAACAATCCCAACATGCAGTATTGGAGAATTTTATACTGTTTTATGCTGTTGCAGTATGAAAAGAATGAATAAAGTTGTGCTCAGGTAATTTTGTTCATAATGTAATATCAAGTGCAAAAGCAAGCAGACTGCAGGCACAGGCCTTTATTCTCAGCACTAGGGAGGCAGATGCAGGTGAACCTCTGTAAGTTCAAAACTAGCCAGGGCCACATGGTTTAGGCGATAAGAGGGGAGGCCATCAAACTTGGCTTGCACATTCAAACTTTAGACATTGTGAAACAACATTATCCTCTACAAAGCTCACACTACAAAAAATAAATAAATTACAATAACCCTTCAATGTTTTAAATTTACAATTCTGTGTTAAGCTACATTCAGTGGTATTCACTATAGGCCACATATAACTCACTGGTCATGAGTTTCCAAATGTTGACTGAGAGGTAAAGACTATACTAGGATAAAGCATTTTTGAGGATAAAATACTTCAAGGGAGTCAATGCTTATTAACAAAGCACAATCTGAATGATACTGTAGGTTCCATGGGAAACCATCATGTAGGGTGAGTGCTTACCTCATCCCACACTTTTTTTTTTCCCGATTTTTAAAACCAATTAACAAGCAGAATTTATTTGCTTGATTCCACAATGCCTGGTGTTGGCAGGTTATCTCTACAATGGGCAAAATGCCCCTAACAGATGGGTTAAAACCCAAGACATGTCAGAAGATCAGCACATATATTAAGATGAAACCCCAGGCTGACTTTGCTCCAAGTCCAAACAAGAGTCTGTGCAAAGCCACTTACTTATTAGCTTGGAAAGCCAGGTCATTTAGGACTTCTATTTAGAAGGCCCCAGAATCTTTGTACTGATAGTCTCAAAAAGAAAGCAGACTGTATACATTAACCCACTGGCCAAGCATGAGGAGAGAGGATGCTGTGTGGCAAAGTTGTGGATCAATTTCCATGAACTGGAGGAACCAGCACTTGATCTCAGCTCCACAGACAGAATCATCTTCAAAAGCAAATGTCAAAGGAATTCCAAAGTCATTTCCATACCAACAAAAGAGAGAGCAAGGACATTAAAGGTGAGCAGGCGTAATGACAAAGTAAACAAGAACAATGGCACTGTGATACTTGGTCCTCAGTGTGGGACTCCGGTATTGCTCAGTTTAGCTGAACATTGTTCAGAGCCCAAAGACGCTGGTCCCGTGTAACTACCACCCATGGGCTCATGTATTCCTACAAACAAGGACAGTTACTGGGGTCAAATGCAAGTTTGGTGGTGCCAAGGAGGTGGTAAAGAATTCTCAGAGAGAAGAATTTCTTTCATCCTACTTAAAACTGCAAAGGGGTGAACTACCTGAACAGCCAAGTCACCAAAGACAAAATATTACATTCATCTTAATAAAGCATCCTTTCACTACTGAATGCAAATAGCCATTGGGCACAGTACTCAGTAATTGGAGCAGAGATGACAGAAGCACAGGAAATCATAAAAAGTTAGAAAGTTAATACCCCTGTAAACAACATATTCACATAAAGCTTTTCAATTATAGTATTTATTATGAGGGTGATTGTGGCACTTTGAACAGATATGATCCCTACAGACTAATGTGTTTGGATACTTGGCCTACAGGGAGCGCCACTGTTCGAAGGTATAGTCTTGTTGGAATAGATGTGGCCTTGTTGGAGGAAGTGTGTCACTGTGGGGGCAGGCTTTAAAGTCTCAGGAGCTCAAGCCTATTTACTTCCTACTGCCTGCTGGTCCAGATGTAGAACTCTGAGCTCCTTCTCTAGCACCATGTCTGTCTGTATGCTGCCATGCTTCCTGCCATGAGGATAATGGACTAAAGCTCCAAACTGTAAGCCAGCCCCAATTAAATGTTTTCCTTTATAAGAGTTGCTGTGGTCATGGTGTGTCTTCATAGCAATAAAACCCCAAGACAGTGACCTATCAAAAATAAACCAGTTATTACACTTAGGAGCAATAAACATACCACAGAGCAGTACAAATCCAATGGGAAATATAAGGAAAGAAGAAATCGAATAATGGAAATACTAGGCTGAGTGCAACTCACCTCAGGAAAGTAAAGACTATACACAGGGTGTGTTATCTTTGACTTGGTTTCCAAAAGAGCTCTCTCTTTTCTCTGTATGCTTTGTTGTAATTCTTGCCACTCCTAGGAGGGAAAAAAAAAAATAAGAGTACTTGAAATCTGGTATCTTGCAGAGACCATTTAGCAGGATTATAAATTCATTTCCACAAATCTTATCATCTGTCAGGCACAACTGTACCTATGCCCACAGCATGCTGACGTTCCAGACCTGACCCTGAGCCCACACCCTAGCTTTCTTCCCTGTCCTTTTTACTCGTCATCAGAACTATCTGCACTTCTCTGAAGTTACTAAATCATTGTACTCGCCCAGAACCATGGGTGGGTTTCTGGTCACATTGTCAGTCTTGTAAGCTCCTACTCTTAATTCTTTCAATAGAGTGAAATACTACTGCTATCAACTCCCAAGAAAAGCCTACCAACAAGAATGTTCCACTGCCTTACAACTTAGCTATCACACTGTTATGCCATTACTACAGTTTGTATAACATGTATTAATTCTTGTACATACCATAACATTTATTTTAAGTCTGCTGGTCCTGACAGCCAGAATGCTCAAAGGCAAAAGCTATTTTGTATTTCTCTTGGACTCTATGGACTAAATCATGCTTAGGATGAAATAGATTATGAATCTGTTGGTTAACTGCTTATCTTTGGTCATCTAAAGAAACTCATCTGTAGCTGGACATAGTGGTGGATGCCTTTAATCCCAGCACCAAGGCAGAGGCAGGCAAATCTCTGTGAGTTCTAGGCCAGCCTGGTCTACACAATGAGTTCTAGGACAGCCAGAAACACATAGTGAGAATCTGTCTCAAAAAAAAAAAAAAAAAAAAAAAAAGGAAAAAGGAAAAAAGGAAAAAGGCTATCTATAGAACCTTGATACTAGCTACATGACAAGTCTTTCTTAAGAGTGGAGCTGAGGAATTCTCCAAGTCTAAAAGCACTCAAGACCCAGCAACTAATGAAAAGTCATCTTTATCTGCTTTTACTCCCAAGGACAGGTAGGTCCATTAGCTCTCTGTACCTTTGTATTCCACTCCCCACCTATTCCAAGACTCTCAGAGACTATTCAGGGGACCACATTTTCTCTCAAATCACAAGATCACTTTTAGAGCAAGTGAACAGAGATCAGTATATACTTCATTTGCAATGAGCCTCCAGATATTCTTTTCTGTATCATTTCCAAAAATCAAGTGAAATTTGATGCACATACAGTGGACCTCACCATCTTAATAAACTCTTAATTACATTACGAAAACAAGGTGACATTCTAAAAGCTTTCCTTTCAACTGACTCTCCACCATCAGGTTCACAGTGATGTTTCTTCTCAGCAGGATCTGGAACCCATGGAAGAACCTTCCAAGGACTGCTCCTGTCTCACTCCCATCTCCCCTTACTCCTATTTCCACAGACATCTTCCATCACTGAAAATTTCCTTAAGAGATCAAACTAGTCTCACTCAAACACAGAACCTGCTCCACTTCATAATTTCAACAAATTTGAGAAAACTGGGATTTCCAATCCTTGTTTGAAATGATTTTCCTTTATAATCACTGACAGAAATTTCTTAAAAACGAATGAAATCGTCAAGTAATAAAATTCTGAAATGGATGAGTTTTTAAAGCAAGTAAACAAACAAAGGAATTTAAACTATCGAGTCTGGAGCTTGATGTACGCACTGGGCTCTATCTTCAGCAAAACGGGGGCGGGGGGGGGGGCACGGGACCAAGGGCCATCAGGTCTTACTGCTTCATCGTCTTTGTTTTGTTTTTCATCTTGTTCTCTATCAGATTCTCTGTCACTACCATCATCTTTTTCACTCTGCGAATCTCTATTGGTTTCTTCCTCTTCAGAATCACTGCCTTTGTCAGAAATGTCATCTTCTTCCTCCTTTACTGCAGTTTCCTACAAGACAAAAGCAAAAACAAAAATTCTGAACAGTTCAGTCAGTATATATAGTTCCGAGCCTCTGAAGCTAATTCAACTGTCAACATAACTGAACTGGCTCAAGATTAGAATTTCACTATTCACAACCAAAGTTCTCACTAAGCAAAGAAAGGAAAAGGAAGAAATGGAAATGGAGGGCATAAAAAGCTTAAAAGAAAAAAAAAAAAAACTTGTAAATAAAACTGTCTTTACTCACAAAGGCCACAATTGCTTATGTGGAAGATCTTTATTGAAACACCTACAAATGTTGAAATCAAGTCAAGTCACTAAGACTTCTTGATACAAGGTTAATTCTTTATGATATAGCTACTATGTTCCTACAAAGCAGTAATAGCCACTGAAAATGAAAATAAAAATAAATGTCATTTTAAATAATACCAATAAAAGTTGTCAAGTACATAAGCAGTACAAATGTACCATACCTGTCATTTACTGCTTGGAAAATTTAAAGAAGCTCTAAATTTATAAAGACAGGCAATAAATGTAAACAAAGACTACGCAAAAATGCTATATTAATTCCCCCTATCAAACCATAGATTCAATTAATGCTAATCTAAATCCAGCAATGATTTTTTTAGTGAAAATTATCACTCAATCTAAATGTTTAGTTGGATGAAAAATAGTTAATAAGTAAAATTACAAGCTCGGGAATTTACACTATAAGTGTGTAAAAACTGAGATCTACAGTTAAGCTAGTATGACTGCCAAAATAAGCAGATGCAATGGACCATAGCATCTGGACTGACACATTACAAGCAATATGGGCACTTGTTTAAAACAAAACGGCTCTGCAACTCCTAAGGAAAGAATTGTATTTTCAATAAATACTGAAATAAACATTCCATATTTACATTATCAATGAAAAGTCATTCAAAATAGATCACACAGCTGAAGGTAATATTAAAATAAATTCACAGCAGCTGTGATTGCCTATATAAGATCAAACTATTTAGCATTACAGAATGATGGTTTGAGTGGAAGGAAAGTCAGTTAAGGGTATGACCCCTGGCAGGTTGACCATACTCTGTTGATGGTCCCACACACAGCACAGTTTTTAAACAGATTAGTGTTTAAAATTTCGAGATAAAGTCTGGGTATGTAGCTGTGGCTGGCCTGGATCTTAGTATGTAGCCAGCGGGAACTCGGTATGTAGCCATTAAACTGAGAGATACACCTGCCTCTGCTATCAAGTGCTGTGAAATTAAATAAAGGTGTGCATCACCACACCCAGCTATAAAAAGGTATTTATAAAAATAAAACTAAAATAGATTTCATTAAAATAATAACCACCAAAAGCTACCTTCTGTGAGGAGGAAAGAAACTCATATTCACAATACATAGAGTTCTATCAAATCCATAAAACAAACCTATGAGCAAGATTAACAAAATGGCCAGTAAACAACAACAACAAAAACACTCAAATCATTAGGTAAATATAATTGAAAACCAAAGTATTATCACCACAGATCACCCAAATGGTTAAAGCAAAAGAAGGGAAACCAAGTAGAGGCTAGAGCACAGAAACTGGACTCTCACCCTCAGTTGGGATGATTTTAAATGGCAGAATTTGGAAACTGGTTCTACTGATGAGTTTAACACAACTAACTACCTATGACTTGGCCCCATTGCTGTATAGAAAATGACCATAACAACCATGCACAGAGAGTATATTATATAAGAACCTTAGTTAGATTAGATTAAAATGGCAAACCCAAATAGAACATAGTGTATTTATATAATGAAATAGCATTGGAATACATGCATACACAGTCTCTCTCCAACTGGACTATCCCTACAACTAATATAAAAGTAAATCTTGAGTCAGGGTCAGAAAGAGAGTTCAGTGGGTAAAGGTGTTTGCCACCAAGCCTAATGACCTGAGTTTAATCCCTGGGACCCACATGATAGAAAGAACCTATAAGTTGTCCTCTGATCTCTATCCATGTCACAAACATGCAGGCACAATCAATCAATCAATCAATCAATCAATCAATCAATCAATCAATAATTTAAAACACCCACAAAGTGGCTCACAAATGTCTGTAACTCCAGTTCCAGGGAATCCAACACCTTCTGGTTTCACAAGCACCAGGCACACATGTACGGCACATACATACACATATGCAAAAGGTCCTTACACATAATATGACAACTAGGGGCTGGAGAGATGGTGTGAGGGTTAAGAGCAAGTACTGATCTTCTTGAGGACCTGAGTTCAGTTCTATATCAGCAGGCTCATGACAACCTGTTAATGGCAGCTCAAGGAGATATGGTGCCCTTTTCTAGCCTCCAGGCACTCGACACAAATGCCATACATTCACACAGACTAATAGATAATTCTTTTTTGTTTTCTGAAGGTTTTCCTCTGTGTAGCCCTGGCTGTCCTAGAACTTGCTCTGTAAACCAGGGTAGTCTCCAAATGAAAAGAGATCCGTCCACCCGCCCCTACCTCACTGTGCCTGTCATTAAAAAAGAAGGAAAAAAATAGTCGGCAGCATTATAACACACATCTTTAATCCCAGCACCCAGGAAGCAGAGGCAGGTATATCTCTGTACATTTGAGGCCATTCTGGTTTACATAGTAAGTTCCAGGCCAGCCAGGGCTACATAGTGAGATCCTGTCTCAAAAACTGAAAGAAGGGAGGGAGGTGGACAGGATAGGAGAGTGGGGGGAAAGAATGTCAGGGCTAGAGAGAAGGCAGAGTAGTTAAGAGAGCCGGCTGGTTTTCTAAAGAACCCATGCTGCAGCTAACAACATCTGCAATTCCAGTTCCGGCTGCATCTAGCTCTCCAGGGAACTGCACATACATGATGCAAAGACATTTATACAGACCTTCAAGCACATAAAATAAATCTTAGTTTATTAATAAGTAAAATTATAGTGACTACAGTCACAATCGTGAGTAGAGATGAAGTACTCAATGGAAAAAATCATTGACTATGAAGGACATACAGGAGCTCTCCTGACTGCTAGTAAGGCTTAAAATATGTATTTATTTTTATGTATAAGCCTGTATCTATATGTGGTATGTGATTAAGTATAGCTGCCTGCAGAGATGAATGGTGACTGATCCCCTGGAAATGAACTTATAGGGAGTTGTGAGCCACCTGACACAGGTGCTAGGAATGGAATTCAGGTAGACACTCTTAACTGCTGAACCCTCTCTTAAGCACAGAGCTTTTAAATCTTGATTTGAGCTGGGCACATAGCTCAGTGGTAGTGTACTTTCCTAGTGTGCATGAAGTCCTGGGTTCAATTTCCAGCATTTGGAAGGGAGGAGTAAGGAAGGGAGGGCAAATCTTGACTTGGGTTTAATGTACACATTCACACGTGAACTTTAGAAGCTGTATACATATCTGAACAGTTTAATATATACAGTTTACACCTCAGTAATAACAGAAACAATGACAACAGACTTACACTCCCAACAACTCCGTTTGCCTGCTTCTGCTTCTGTTGTTTTGCCTGAGGTAAGGGCACAGCAGTGGGCTTTTTTTTTAAAGGCTTCTTTTTCTTGGACTTGGGCATTTTCTTGGGACCTTTGCTCTTCTGTTGCCATCCTCCTTTTGTCTTGTTCTTGTTGGCATCACTCTGCTGCAAACCATATGCAACTATTAAGTCTTAACAGTCATTTTTAGAAGGAACTGATGAAAATGTGTGTTTTCATAAACTGTACTATATGCCCCGCAGTAATATAAGTCAACCAAAGAAGTACATAGAACATCTCTTCATTAAGAAGGTAAGAAAACTCGAGTTGTTACCCCATCTTCCACAGGCTGTTCCTCAGCAGCGCAGATGGACTGTTCCTTTTCAAATACTTCCTAGAGGCAATAAGAACAAACAGTATCAGTCCATGTTTGTCTTTCAGATAAAACACAGACTCTTTCAAAATGTCTATCCATAAAGGTTTTGTTAATTAGTTGTAATTGAGAGGGTGAATAGGCTTGGCAGTTGTAGGTCTGTACATATGCAGGGAGCAACAGTCTGAAGTACCTAATACTGTCAAAAATAGACTTTGAAAAGTACAGTCTACTAAATTAACAAATTCAATGACTTAATATAGGCAAATTCATTATAAAGTCAAAAATATTTAATTTAAAAGTTCATTTTATTCTAATAGCAATCAAGCAAGAATATTTTAATGAGAATTTGAATACATCATATTATTCTAATTTTCACCTTCAAGGGACCACTGTAAGTTTATTATTATCAGTGGATTACCAAGAAAATCCATACATATATCTTAAAAACATATCTACTAACCATACAATTTAATCAGAACCAACACAAAGACTATGAATTTACAATTTAAAGTTCAATTAGAACCTAGTAAGATGCATACTGGAAACTGACAAGTGGTACAGGTTGTGCTTAAGAAATGTCTTGGAATTACTACATCCAATAAATGAAAACCAGCCAGCTCTACGAGAGACAGGCTGGCCTAGGAGGTCAATAAGCTGGCATCATCACTGTATTTGGTTTCATGGTTTTGACAGGGTCTCATCATGTAATCCAGTTGCCTTGTATTCACAATCCCCCTGCCTCAGCTTACTTAAATGTCTGCTGCTTTAAATACTTCGTCCAAAATAATTGAAAAAGCAGCCAGGCGTTGGTGGCACATGCCTTTGATTCCCAGCACTCAGGAGGCAGAGGCAGAGGCAGAGGCAGAGGCAGGCGGATATCTGTGAGTTCAAGGCCAGCCTGGTCTACAGAGTGAGTGCCAGGATAGGCTCCAAAGCTACAGAGAAACCCCGTCTCTAACACCCCCCCCCCCAAAAAAGCATATTTTGTAGTTCTACGTCTTAAACCAATTATGGCACTGGTCTAGAGTGCCTAAGAGGCACCTTTTTTTTTTATCTTGAGTCAAAAATTACACAAATACTTCCTTACCACTTAATATCAGGAAGCTGAGCCAAAAGCAACAGACAGTGTAGACTACATAACAAGACCCTGTCTCAAACATAAAACAAAGCAAAAATTGAGCCAGGAGGGTGGTCCAGTCAGGGAAGTACTAGCCACACAAGCATAAGGACCTGAGTGTGATCCCCTGGAACCCATGTTTAAAAGGTAGGGGTGGGGGCCTAGGAAGGTATCTCAGTAGTTTAGAGTACTTGTTGCTCTCGAAAGAACCTGGGTTCAATAACAAGCACCCATACTGTAGCTCGCAACCATCCATAAGTACAGTTCCAGGGCATCCAATGCCCTCTTCTCACTCACATGGTGGATATGTATACCGACAGGCAAAACATTCGTATATACAAAATGACTGAATTTAAAAAAAAAATAAAAAATAAAGGTAGGCATCCTGGACAGCATGTGCTTATAATTCCAGTACTATGGAGATAGAGACAAGTGGATTTCTGGAACTAGCTGGCCAGGAAGCCTCACTAAATTGGCAAACACAAGGCTAATGGGAGACACCATCTCAAAAAAACAGCACCGCACCATCAGATTTTGACTTAAAGCCTCTACACACATGAATATGCACTCAAATATGCAAACACAAGTGCATTCACACAAACCAACAAATAGACAAATAAACCTCCAAAATAATAAATATATGTAACTAAATAATACAAATAAGCTACTTACAGCCATTGTCTGCCTCGTCAATTTAACCAAGACCGTAACTAGGGATCCTACTGTGATGTTGTTGCTGTCCTCATCATCCAATACTGTAAGACAGGAGGAACAGAGCAAAATATAAAAAAACAAGTCTCAAGTCAATGCAAACAGCAATATGTAACGTGCCCAAAACAATTTGGTACTGTAGTATTTGGAAAGTATTATGTTTTAAGCTTATTAAAAGTTACTTATTGATTATCCTGTAAAACCCTCTACATGCCTTCAACAACTGCTTCATTTAAGCCTTAAAATACTTTTATGATGTATTTTCCACTTTAAGAAACCAAGGTTCATTCACACCTGTAGCGGCCCTGCCAAATTTCAAAACCAACTCTGCAGACACTAATTTTACTTCTCTGACCAATGTCTGACTGTGAGACTAAAATAATGAAAACTAATGTCCCAAATGACCTTAAACATCTAAAAAGACAATGTTCAAAGCAGTAACTTCAACATATTTTCTTTGCAGTAAAAAGCTTTTTTTTAAGTGTTAGCTTTGGAAAGACATATTAAACTGGAACAACAGACAGAAGATTAGTGTTGCCTGTGTGCAAGGATGACATGCAAACTCATGTAGAGTTCCATATTTTTAAGAGAGACTACTTACTGCTCAGCATGTGCTGTGGTTTGAAAGAAGATGGTCCCCACAGGTTCATATTTGAATGTTTGGTCCCCAGTTGGTAGAACTGTTTTAAGAAGGAATAGGAGGTGTGGCATTGTTGGAAGAGGTGTGTCACTGGAAGTGTGCTTTGAGGTTTCAAAAGCCCACATGAGGTCCAGTCTTGCATGCTCTCTCTGTACCTCCAACTCACAGATCAGGATGTAATCTTTCAACTACTGCTCTACTGCCATGCCCGCCTGCCTGCCTGCCTGCTGTCAGGCTCCTTGCCATGATGGCCACGGACTCACCATCTGTAACTAAGTCCCAATTAAATGCTTTCTTTTCTAAGTTGTCCTGGTCCTGGTCTCTTCACAGCAATAGAAAAGTAACTAAGAAAGCAGAAAAGTCGGTAAAGTGCTTGCTCTGAACTTGAACTGTCAGCACCCATAGGAAAAGCCAGGCATGTAAAGTAGGGGTAATACCAGCATTGCAGGGTGGAGACCAGTGGAATATGAGAGCTAGCTGGCTGCCCAGTCTAGCTCAGTGAGAGAGCCTACTTCAATGCAACAGGGAAAAGAGCAATAGAGAAAGCCACTGAACACCCCGCTGTAGTCTCTGCATGCTTACACATCCATATTATATGCATGCAACACACACACATACACCTTCCTCTACACACAAAAATACTGCTGCCAATAACACTAAAGCTTTATAATAGGTATTAAATTAATAAATACCAATTGTTCGTGGCTATACATATTTATTATGTACAAAATATATAGTATGCAGTAAGACTATTGTGGAAACACTTATTTTTATAATGTACCTCTAAATTTGAAATTATTTCAAAACAGAAAGTTGTGGGAATTTTCTTTGGTAGGCCAGGTATGGTGATCAATCCTGTAAACCCAGCATAAAAGAGAAAGAGGCAGAACGATTGCTGAGGGTTTAGGGCTATCATGAACTACAAAATAAGATCCGATCTCAAAACCAACCACCAAATAAAAAACAAGAACAGAAAAAAGAGTATTTCTTTTGTAATAGATATTACTAAACAGAGTTGCACGTGCAGTCATTTAATTTTGCCATAGAGCCCCATACACTACAATATAATAAAAACTAAAACTTCTCAAGAACACTGTAGTGGTAACTTGACAGGGGAAGAGTTAACTAAGGTGGGAAGGTTGGTGCTCAGTGTGGATAGCTCACTCCTCTCTGGGCCAGGGTAATGGTCTGCACTGACTAAGGAGAAAGATAGCTGGGCAGTAGCATTCATTTCTCTGCTCCCTGACTGCAGATGCAATGTGTCCTGCTGCCTTGTGTTCCTGCCACCAAGACTTCCAGCAAGATGGACTGTACCTCTCAAACCCTTAAACCACTTGCAAGGTATTTTGTCAAAGCAATAAAAAAGATAATTACTGTTCATACCTTCTACTCCAATGATATTAATTCATTTTTCTACAAATTTTATCTGTAAGTAATTTCTTCAATGAGAATTTTTGTTTTCACTATTTTCTAAGTTTGTGCCTAGCTTACAGATTTAGTTCAGAAATACTGTACTGGCCTTTATTATATATACACCAACATATGGAAAACAGAAGTCTCTAACAACTTATAACTGCTAACTCTATTACTAGTTATGAGGTACAACAGTATGGCTCAAGAAAGGGTAGACTGTCCTTTCTTCACCTTGAAATTAAAAGCCCCTGCTATCATGAGCTCATTTCTCATTCTGCAGTACCTGTGACATCTACTGCATCAGTGTGTACACATATTTAGTGTTTTAAAGTGGGGCAGGGGCTGCCATGAGATGCTACGTGGCCTCTAGTGATAAAGGGAAAACAACTATGTTAATGAACTCTTGTTGTGGAATATTAGCTTAAGATGCATTACATTCTTTTATCCTGTGGAATATTTGTTTAGTGATGCAAAGATGTTTTGCATTCTTTTATTCTGTAAAACTGAGTGACTGTGCCTGTCTAAAACACCTTATTGGTCTAATAAAAAGCTGAATAGCCAGAAGCTAGGCAGGAGAGAGATAGGCAGGGCTGCCAGGCAAAGGGGGTGGGGGGAGGAGAAGAAAGAGGAGGAGGAGGAGGAAGAGGAGGAGAGAAGGGTGCCAGGGGCCAGTCACCCAACTAGATACAGAGTAAGAAGGAAAGAAGGAGATATAGAATAAAGAAAGGTAAAAGCCCTGTGGGGGACTGAATATCCCTGTTATGGAATATTCTGGGTTCCAGGCCCTGGCCACATAAACAGCGTTGGCTCGAGTCGCCATTGTATTGTTAATTAACACCAGGCTGTAACTGTTTACCTGGCCTGAGGGTAATATGCCTCTTATTTGCATCTGTATGTGCGAATAGGCCCTCACCAGGGCGGAGGGGCTGGTGGTATGGGAGAGAGAGAACAAAGGAGAAATGGTTACCTCGTGGTACTAGAAAGATGGCTAATAAAAAAATAGCTCTAGTTCCAAAACATGGAACTGAGAGCTCTCTAAAGATGACAAGATGCCTGTGTTTGGTCTTTATCTTCTTTGGTTCCCAAGAAGCTTCCAGGTTCACCCACCCCCACTCAGGTAGAACCTCATGGCTGTCGTGGGTTAAAGCTGAGACAAGCCGGGTCTCGACAAAGCCCAGAGGCAAAAGCAAAGCTGGCTAAAAACAAGCCAAGCTAAGGCCGGGCATTTATAAATAAGAATTAAGTCTCTGTGTATTTACTTGGGAGCTGGGTGGTGGGTCCCCAAAGAGCAAAGAGTAAAACAAACAAACAAAAACAAAAATAAAAAAACAAACACAAAAGAAAAAACCCAACTACACTTACTTTCTTGAAAATAAACCTCTTCAAACATTTTTGTCTAAGCATGTATGTTTTACAATGATTGATTATAACAAAGATTATCTCTTAAGTCCCAAATCAGATTCGATTAAAAAACTAAACCCTAAATGTAGTTTGTAAAGACATTTTTATTTTACATGTATGTGTGAGTAACTGCAGGTATGCATGTGTACAACATGTGAGGCTGGTGACCAAGGAGTTATAAGTGGACATGAGCGGTGGCGCACGCCTGTAGTCCCAGCTACTCGGGAGGCTGAGACAGAAGGATCGCTTGAGTCCAGGAGTTCTGGGCTGTAGTGCGCTATGCCGATCGGGTGTCCGCATCAATATGGTGACCTCCTGGGAGCGGGGAGCCACCAGGTTGCCTAAGGAGGGGTGAAAGACCCGAGCTAACATGGGGTTAACTCGTTAAATTACAATAAAGCCTCGTGCAGTTTGCAGCAAGCTCTCGAATCCGCCTGGTGATTGGGGTGACGTGGCCTGGGACCCCGGATACTTGAGTTTTCGGGGGTCTAACACTACCAGGTAGGATAGGAGCTGTGAATCGAATCTGGTCCTCTGCAAAAGCAGCAAGTGGTTTTTGGGTTTCTGGTTTTGTTTTTGTTGTTTTGAGACAGGGTTTCTCTGTGTAGTTCTGGCTATCATCCTGGAAATTGCTCTGTAGACCAGCCTGGCCTCAAACTCAGAGAGATCTGCCTACCTCTATCTCCAGAGTGCTGGTGTTAAAGGTATGCACCACCACTACCTAGCACAGCAGGTGCTTTTAACCTCTGAGGCATCTCTCCAGCCCCTAAATGCAGCATTTAGATTAGTGATCTTAATGTCTAAAAACTCAACAATCTAAAAGGAAACTCCCAAATCCCAGAAAAAGTTGTCTATATGCAAATGTCCTATAGGCTAGGCAAACTGAAACCAGAGGACACTGTTTGCTTCCCTGTCCCTAGCATCCCAATTTTAGGAAATCATTTACTTCTCATTTACATCAGAATTCCAATTCAGTAAGGCAAAGTGCCTTCACCACAAATCTCCAGATGCCAGTAAAAGTACACAGCATTCAATGTTTCTTACATGAATATAAGGCAAAATTTCTGTCATCACATAACACTAAGCATCTATTATGTCGTTTTTAATACTATACCTCAACTAGATGATGAACTCCTTAAAACACAGAAACCATTCCTAACATGTTCCTGCATTCTTGGTACCTAGAAAAAGTGTTCTCTCAACAATGAACTGGTGAGTGTTACAATTCAGAACTACATCACAGACATAATAACAAACAATCTGTAACTCTGGTTCAAAACACTACGCTACTAAAATGGTGACAGGCAATTATGTAGGTAGAAAGTGTTTTCACTTAAAATAGATATAAAGACAGAGATGGAAAAACACATGAAACACAGGCAGGGTGATTTTCTTTCTTTCTTGGAGACAGGGTTTCTCTGTGTGACAGTCCCAGTTGTCCTAGAACTCAATCTGTAGACCAGGCTGGCCTCGAACTAAGAGATTGGACTGACTCTGTCACCCAAGTGCTGGGAATAAAGGCCCCCACCACCTGGCTTTATTTCTTTTTTTCTTTTTTTTTTTTTGGTAATTTTCCAAGCTTACTATAGATAAATGTTAATTTCATCACTAAATAACTATTTCTTTTAACAATATATTCAAAATACCTCCTCCTGTCATCATACTTAAACACGTTTCCCATTCTTCGGAAAGTTAAGCAATTCCAAGAGTGTACCAGATCTCTAAGGAAAAAGCACTGAAGGAGAAGCTCATGATGTTAAAGTGGGAGAGCTGCAAATGGATCCTGATGCAGGATTTCAGCCCCAATACTAGGTTACAACTAGTATTTTAAATCAATTTAAGAAAAGACCACATAGCATAGCCAGGATTAAGAGAAGAATGGCAGCCCATGACATGAACAATAAAGCAAGAACCATAGGAAGAGGGTGCATTCTATACTCTAAGCATGACTGCCTGCCCAGCTCCATGTGTGAAGAATTCAACTAAGGTTAAATCTTTCATATCCTCATTGAGAACTAATTTCTAATTATAGGTGATTGATACACAAAAAGAAAATCCAGAATGTTCAATTATAAAACAGTATCCTTGTACTTACCATAACTGTAACAAACATAAAAGCTGGATTTTAACCAGAAAATTACAGTTCTGCAAAGTTCAACTACAAATGACATTATTAAATTGTTTTAAAAGCAGACACAGTGGTCCATGGCTGTGTTGTAGAATATTATCTTAAGATGTTGTGTATTTATTTATGCTGTGGAACATTTGTTTAATGATGCAAAGATCTGTTGCATTCTTTTATGTTGCATTTGTTTAACTCTGTGAAGCTGTGTTACTCTGCCTAAAACACCTGATTGGTCTAATAAAGAGCTGAAGGGCCAACAGAGAGGCAGAATAAAGGATAGGCAGGGCTGGCAGGCAGAGAGAATAACTAGGAGAAATCTCGGAAGAGAAGATCAAGGAGGAAGGAAGAGGACTCCAGGGGCCAGTCACCCAGCTACACAGCAAGCCACAGAGTAAAAGGTAAAGAAAGGTATACAGGATAAAGATAAAAGCCCAGAGGCAAAAGATAGATGGATAATTTAAATTAAGAAAAACTGGCAAAGGGAACAGAAAGGTTGAGTTGGGGAAAGAATAGAGGAGAGCAAGATAAGAGATACCATAATAGAGGGAGACATTATAGGTTTAAAGAGAAATCAGGCACTAGGGTAATGTCCGGAGATCTACAAGGATGACACCAACTAACAATCTAACCAAGAGAGGAGAGGCTACCTTAAATGCCCTCCCCTGATAATGAGATTGAAGACTACTTATATGCCATCCTATAGCCTTCATCCAGAAGCTGGTGGAAGTAGAAGCAGACACCCACAGCTAAACATTGAACTGAACTGGAATCTAGTTGCAGAGGAGAAGTGATGAGCAAATGGGTCCAGACCAGACTGGTGAAACCCACAGAAGCAGCTGACCTGACAAGGGAGAGTTCTTGGTCCCCAGACTGATAGCTGGGAAACTAGCACTGGACTGATCCAGACCCCATGAACGTGGGTGTCAGTGAGGAGGCCTGGGCAATCTATGGGGCCCTTGTAGTAGATCAGTACTTATCCCTAGCATAGGAATAACTTTAGGAGCCCATTCCACATAGAGGGATACTCCTTGAGCCTAGACACACGGGGGTGGGCCCAGGCCCTATCACAAAGAATATGACAGACTCTGAAGACCCCCCTATGGAAGGCCTCACCCTCCCTGGGGAGCAGAAAGGGTATGGGATAGGTAGGGCGTTAGTGGGGGCGGGGGGCAGAGGGGGCAGAGAGGAGGAGGGGAGGGAGAGAGAACTGAAATTGGCATGTAAAACAATCTTATTTCTAATTCAAATTTTAAAAAATGGAGGAAAAAGAAAAACCGGCAAAAAAAAAAAAAAAAAAAAAAAAACCAAAACGCAAGTTAAGGTAAGAGAAAGTCTCTGTGGGTGTATTCATTTGGGAGCTGGATGGCAGGCCCCTCAAAGAGCAAAAAGTGAAGAGTAAGAAGAACAACTAACAATGACTGTAAAATCAACACCTGTAAAGCAGAGGCAAGATTCCTCCAAGTTTGAAGAAGCCTGGACTACATAGTAAAGGCCCGCTAGACAGGACAATGTAGTGAGATGGAGGGAGGAAGGAAAGAATGAATTTGAGTCAAATAAATGAGACCAAATCACCGAATGTGCAACAAGGGAAGCTCCCACTTACCCTGTGACTTAATGTCCATGGTCACATATGGAAAACTCCCAAGGACCGCCATGACCTCTTCATATTTATCATCTTCAAGGAAGTGCAACAGACTATGACGATCTGATTCTTTTAAACTGACCAAATCCTGGATAGTTTTAATTTTGTACTAAAAAAAAAAGCAACCAATAAAATTTTTCATAAAATGAAAACTAATGGCATGCTGACCAAAACAAAATCTAGCAACTTCAGAAAAAAGTTAACATTATGGACATTTCAGAGCAAAACAACTAAAACTAAGGTTGTTTGGGTATAAATTCATTACAGGCTTTTTTTTTTTTAAATCAGAAAAAAAAACAGAGTACAAAATTTTTTTTAAAAAAGTTTTTTTTTTTTTTTTTTTTTTTTTTTTTTTTTTGGTTTTTTGAGACAGGGTTTCTCTGTGTAATTTTGGAGCTTATCCTGGCACTCGATCTATATAGACCAGGCTGGCCTTAATCTCACAGAGATTCACCTGCCTCTGCCTCCCAAGTGCTGGGATTAAAAGTGTGCGCCATCAACGCCGGCACAAAAAAAAGTTCATATAGAATACTGACTCAAGCAACAACTACTGTCCTAAATTTATCTATTTTCAGATTTAGGAATAAGAACCTACCAAGTACAGGTGGCCTCTAAAGGCTCCACTATACAGTAAGTTAAATTAATTTAAATTAATTGAAATTTAATCTGAGCACTAGATATTTAATTTTATTTTTGCAGAGATTAAATCATGAAGCAGATAGAATTTCAACTTCAGGATTCTGTTGTTTCAAATTATTACTTAACATTGATAAAATTTATAATGGCAATATGATTAAAAGACAGAGGGCTTGGATACAGATTTCTTATACAGTTATTACCTTCAATACCACCAAATCCAAAGCCTATCTTCTACTATATACAAAGTAACTTTTTTCTTTTTGTTTTCTTGAAACCAGGTCTCACTGTGTGGCCCAGGCTAGCCTCATGTTCACTACTTACCCTAGGCTTCAAATTTACCACAGCCTTCCTGCCTCAGCCTCCCAGAGTGCTGAGTAAGGCTCATACTACCACACCCAAAAAGTCATGTTTAAAATTTACCAGGATTATAATTTCAGTTTCCAAACTTTTCATTTCAACATACTCAAGTCTTTACAATATTTTCTAAAAAAGAAATGATCTTGACTTAATCAAAGTATCCCCCCACCCTCCACAACTCCCTACTCCGCCCCCCTCAGAACCCAGGGTCTTGTGCATACCAAGCAAGCACGCTAACCCCTGAGCTTCATCACCAGTCCACCAACATTATTTTTGTGAATGCTTCATTTATTTTTGTTCATATTCAACTACAACAATTGCCCAACCTTTAAGTCAAAAACAAAATAAAAAGTGGATGATACATTCTTACTTGGTACATACATTTTTGCAATGTAAAAATAAAATATTAATCGCTAAAATTCACTCAATATAAAACAGTAATTTTATAATAGTAAAATATTATAAAACTACCTAATTAAGAAATACTAATAAAAATGATATTGTTAAGTCTAAGAAATCCACAGTAATCAGTCTGGAAAACTTTATTCACATTGCCTTATGATACAACAAGTTGCTACACTCTGACCAGAAAACAGTCAACAAACCTTTTTATGGTTCGAAACTCTCCTAAGATTGTCCTCCTCTATGTGAGGGAGCTGCAGAAGGGGAGACTTAAACTGCTGGAGGCCTTGGACAGCCATCTGGGAAAGCTTCATACAGTTTTCTAAGGATGCCAAAGTTGGAGCACGAAACTCCCTTTCTTAGAAAGAATAGGAAAAAAAGAAACAAAAAGGCTGTACTTTTTACACTTTCATTACAAGGAATAAAATCACAGTAAAAATTCAAGATCAGGATATTGATTTTTCATTTAGAAACTACTGAAAAATATGTTAAAAATGTTAAACTTGGTCAAATGTTTATTACTCAGCAACAGCCACTAATTTAACAAAGTCTCTGTATCAACTCCAATAATGGTAAAATATCAGGCACTATCAGTAGCAAGTACCATGACGTGATGGAAAACACCTGTAACCCCAGCACTCAAGTGGCAATCCTAACACTCACAAGGCTGTGGCAAGGGGACAATGCTTCCAGGACCAGCCTCGGCAGTGCAGTCAGATGCTGCCACAAACACAAATCCCCAAGCGTCCAAACTGGACACACTGGAGCATAGCAGAAACCTTGTCGAGTAAGAAGCTAAGGCAGGTCTGGCTACAAAGCAAGACCCTATCTCAAAAATAAAAGAATACTATTTTGTGTTTTTTAAATCTATTTTTATTTTTACTTTTTGAAGGCAGCAATGTCAAACTAGACCCATGCCTCAGCCTAACAAGTGCTGAGATTACAGGTATAATCCATGCCTTGCTGAAATCCTTTTTATTTACAAACTCCAACAACGTAAATAAGTAAGGAGATATTATCAATATTCCAAATGTACTGTAACATGTACTGTAACATTGTAAAGAACTAAAATCACCCACAACTATAGGCAGTCTCCTTTTCCACTAACAAGCCCAAAATTCCTTTTCTTCTCTTCTCTCTCTCACACACACACACTACACATTATGCCAATTAAGGAATTATTTCAAACTCACTGTTAAAATACAAAATAACTCAAAAGTACTCAGAGGAAAGAAAAAATTTTAGTCACTAAAAATAAAACAATGAAAAGAATGAGAAAATTATGAGCAAATCTGAGAAACCTGACTGACCCTTATACTTAAATACTCACAAAGCTTTAAACTGTAAGTATACCAAGCAAATGGTTACAGGAAAAAGTCCAAATTAATTACATTTTCTCCTCACCTTCACGGCTCCTGGCCATGATTATTAGCTGGCAGATTACATTAACCATTTCTTGAAGCAGAGCAGGACATTTTTTCAGCATGAACTGTTGATCTGGGGGAAGGGGGGGGGGGGAAAGAATCCTGAAATAAGCCATTGTGACCTTACACTGAAAACACTTTTCCCATTTGAAGGCCAAGGCTAACATAAATGTCCTGGCCCTTAAATATTTCAGATAGTTTCAGAATTTTAATGTTTGAAAGAATGTTCCTCCTCAAAATCATTGATTTGAGATGCCATTATTAATACAAGATGTAGCAAAATGAAAAATTTAACATAATTGTGTAATTATGTTAATTAATTGTATAATTATTATAACCATTCCTTATTTTCTTTAAAAACAGTCCTAATCATAAATTCAGTTCTAATCTTTCTGTCTTTGAGAACGTTCTGCTTGTGCTGTTAAGTTCCTATAAATGTAGGTCAATACAAAGGCAATGAACGAGAATAAATTCAACTAAACACAGAAAAAGAGGAAATTAATTAAGGGGGGTGACTAAGCTTGTAAAAGTGCTTGTGGTGCAAGCCTGACCACCTCAGTCCAATCTCCAGAAACAAACAAGCAAAAACAATGGGTTGGCAAAATGGCTCTTCCAGAGGACCTAGGTTCAAATCCTAGCACTCACATGGTGACTGACTAACAGCAGTCTGTAACCATAGGCCCAGGGGGTCAAATACCCTATTCTGGCCTTCTCAGCACTGAACACATGTGATACACGACACTACTGCAGGTAAAATGCCCATATACATCACAATAAAAATAAATTAAAAAATTCTAACCGGCTAGGAATGTAGTTAGATGACAGAGTATATGCACAGCACATGTCAGGTCCTGGGTTCAAATACCAGCAATACAGAAAAATAAATGCTATTGGATCATCATCATCATCACTATCACCCACTTGAAGGGCTGGAAGGACACCTCAGAAGTTAAGAGCACTAGCTGCTCTTCCAGATGACTTGAATTCAACTTCCAATACCCACACAGTGGCTCACACCACTTGTAATTGCAGTTACAAGGAACCCAAGACCCTCATCAGGCCTATGTGGTAGCACTAAGTACCAAATGTCTTGATTTCATTTAGAAAGAACATTTATTTTTTAGGATGCCAAGTTACAGCTAAAAGATGACATTCATATCAATGATCTCTCTGGGAACACTTGCATCTCAACCACGGCCTTTGTTTTAAAGAATAGAGATTTCAAACACTTATGAACCTTTAAGTAAAAAAAAAAATCAAACGTACTTTTCTGTAACTACTACTGAGAAAAGTGGGGAGGATATTGTCCCTCTAAAAAGCTTTCAAGTTCTTTAGTCAAGTATCCCTAGGAACCAGACATGGTGATGCACATCTATAATCTCAGTCCACAGGAGGCTGAAGAAGGGTTTCCAGCTTGAGTCCAGCCTGAGCAACAGAGCAAGTTCAAGGACAGCTTAAGAGACATAACTGAAACTCTGTCTCAAAAGGTAAGCAAAGCCATTTAAGAAATTCTTTTGTTATTAAACATTTTCATACAGAATATTCTGACTTTGAAATAATAATTTTAACATTTGCCAAAGCAGCTGATGTAGACTTTCAAATTATTTGTAATTATACACATAGATATTTTTTAATGAAATATAAAGCAACTATTTGAACAACAACAACAACAAAAAAAACAAAACATCTTCTAAACCCTGAATCACCAACACTACTTACACCTGTTGCTTTGGTCCCATTAAAACTCTTTAAAATAGAGTCACAAATACCTTCTTCCAGGGTCTCAGGAATTTTCATTCTAGCAAGATGAGACAGTAAAAGAACTCTGGCCTTCAGGCTATATGGACAGGTAAGTGGAAGCTCATTCTTCTTTAAATTTATGCTGCCAATTTCTCTGATTAGCTAAGGTAAACAAAGTAATTATTCAGAAACATATCATGAATTATTCACTCTTGTACTTTATTGCTCATCCAGAAATTTATAAGATCAGCCTAACCTGTGGTATTAAAATATTATCTGTTGGCCTGCTTGTAGCATCTTTATTATATTGAGGATCAAATTCAGAAGCTCCAGCTAAAACCATGATGAGACCTATGGAAATAAAAATATAATGGTAAATAAATATTTGCTTATCTATTAAATTTCTCTTTTTGGGAAATCTCCCTTAACACTAAAGCACCTTTCTAATGCACAACGAAATGCTGAAAGTCATCTGGCCTCCACTGATGACAAGTAAATTAGTATCTCCCTCTAACACGAAAGAAACTATACTTTTTAAAATTATTGCCTATCCCAAGTAAGTGTAAGTGTTCATCAAATTAAGAGTACAAAAGGACTGGAAAAATTAAGGTCAGTTATAACAGCATGTTTCTATACTAAGCTTGTGTTCCATGGAAGCCTACTAGAGAGCACTAATATTTCATGTGATGTTAGAATGTTGCATGTAAAAGAGTGCCCTTCAGTTAAGTAAGGCTGGAAACAGTGAATTACCAAGAGTGAGAGATTCTCCTTATTCCATGACTTCTCAGAATATCAAGTAAACAAAAATTCTGGAATCTTGGAGAGTTTTATGGAAATGCACATGATGTCCTGCCACATGTATTATTATTCTAAAAGATCTATAAGGTCAGACACTACAACCATCAATTTCAGCCTAACCATGAATCTTACCTTACCTTACCTTTAATACAGAGGAAAAAACATATGTGATAATAAGCAAAAGGTGGGACTACAGATGCTCAAGAGTAGGGACCACAGTTCTGTAGCTTCCTGGCTAAATGACCTGGGCAACAGTCTTCACATTTCTCCTTGTACGTTAGTTTCTTTAGATGTGCTCAACACACAGCAGGTGCAATAAATGTGTGACCTACTACTACGCCCTCCCCCCAAAATAATAATAATAATAATAATAATAATAATAATTATTATTATTATTGAGACAAGGTCTCACTATATAACTTTGGCTAGAACTCAGTATGTAGACCAGTCTGGCCTGGAAGTCATAAAGATCTGCCTGCCCTGGCCTCTCAAGTGCTGGGGTTAAAAGCATGCACCACCATACCAGGCTCAAATAATTTCATGTGGGGGAAAAAAGTAACTGTCCAAAGACAACTGAAGAAAATATAAATTAGTCCACCAGCTAAAAAATGCTTTATGACAAAATTACATGAGACTAAGTAACACTCCCAGAAATCAGTATCCCATGGGCAAAACAAAACACACAAACCATTATTATAAGGAAGTTTCTATACAAACACTTCAATCAAACATAAGAGTAGTATGTATGCACAACAGAAAGTAATACTCATTCTTTTCTATAGCCTATATTCACTATACATAGTGAAGGGGTTCACAGACATTTCTGTTCAATTATATCATTATTTTGACCATATCTGCCCCTCCTCTTCCAGCCAGTATTCTTCCTTTTTCCAGACAGTCTTGCGTCAACTTCCATGACATAAATGTATGTATGGGTGTATACATACATATATTTATTATTTTATAGGTATACATAAAAACCTAGGACCTACTTGAAAGAAATGCAATATTTGTTTTGACTCTTATTAATTCACATGATATAGTTATCTCCTGTTTAATCAATTTTCCTGAAACTTCCCTAAGTGCACTCTTCCTATGGCTGAATTAAAAAAATAAAAAAATGATGGTTGCTATATATATTATGTCTTCCTTAACCATTTATTGACAGACATTTGGGCATATTCTACAGGTTGGCAATTGTGTGCAATGCCACAGTAAGCACAGATGTGGAGGTATCTGACTTAGCTTCCTTTTGGTATATTCCCAGAGGTGGTATAGCTTATCACACAGTAATTTTATTTAAGGATTTTTGAGTAATCTTCATGTATAGTGGATGAACTAACTTACATTTTCACCAGCAACTGCATTCTTACCAGCTTTTGTTAATTGTTTTCTTATTAACAGCAAATCTGACTAGAGTAAGATAGAATTCCTCTTCCTTTTAAAACACTGAATCGCTGGCTGGCCTGGAACTCACTATATAGACCAAGCTGGCATCAAACTTGTAGCAATTCTCCTACCTCACACCAGGTTTTTTAATTCTTTATTCATTGTAGAAATTCATCCTCTCTTAGTTGTTTAGCTACCAAACATTTTCTCCATCTTGTAGGCCATCTCCTTACTCATTTAATTGTTGCCTTTGCTATGCAGAAACTTGGTAATTTTATACAATTTCATTAATGACATAAACTAGTCATCTGGGAAGAGGAAACATTAACTGAGGAAATGCCTAGAACAGACTGGCTTGTGGGCATGTCTGTGGGACATTTTCTTGATGCTGATGGAGGAGGTACCACTCCTGGGCAGGTGGGCCTAGGATGCATAAAAAAGTCACTGAATGTGAGGCTTTAGCAATGGTCATCTTGGCTTCTGATTCAATATGATGAACTACAAGAGTTAAGAAATATATAGCAATATATAAATGATTCAGAAAGCAATGCAACAAACAGCAGCTACTTCGGTTTACTTACGTTTCATATCCATATTTCGAGTTTTATAAACAAAGTATGTATAAATCTGCGTTGTACGTATTAGAATCTGGTCTCCACTATATCGTATTGACCGATACCACCAAGAGCCCTAAACACAATAAAATTGAACAAGATATAAAGCATGAAAAATGATAAATATTAAGCTTGAGGCAACACAATGATTTCTGTGAATTTTTCAAAGATTTACTAAGAGCAATGACATGTTTGAGCTTGTTCCATATTTCTAATAATTTATTTAACAAAGACTTACATTGTCAGACACATAAACACCAACACAAATCATTAGGCATGATTAAAATGCGTTAGGTTTTAGGCAGAAACTGTTTAAAATATAAAACAAGAATAAAACCACCCATTTCTATAAGCAATTAAAGTGATTTCTAACACAAAATTTTCTAATCAACATTTGTAAGTATAGGAGCCACTTATTGATGACATATTTTCATTCATGTTTTCACAAGATTGAATCGTACACAACAATCCTAAGAAGCGGTCAAGACAGATATATAACAGGACTCATGGAACCACACAAACTCCAGGATCAAAAAGAACACGAGGCACAAAGAAATGAACACTATGAAAACTATGAACTTTCTGGTAGTTCTGCATTATAGTACATTATTTTTTAAAATGAGGCAGCTGGGATATACCTTAGTGGCTAAGACCATGTACTGTTCTTAGGAAGAACACATGGTCTGTTCCCATCACCCACATCAACTAGCTCATACGCACTCCAGCTCCAGGGGATCCAATACGCTCTTCTGAACTCCTTGTACACCTACTCTCAAGTACATATACCCTACATACACATACATAAAAACAAAAAGTGAAAACAGGCTGGGCATGGTGGTGCCTTTAATCCCAGCAATCAGGAAGCAGAGGTAGACGAGTCTGAGGACAACCTGGACTGCCTATCAAGTTCCAGGCCAACTAGAGTTAGATAATAAGACCCTGTTTCAAACAACAACAAAAACAGTATCTTTAAAAACATGAGGTTGAATCAATTAAATTCTAATAATCAAAATCTTAAGAAGCAACTACCTCCCCGAAAATTAATAAAAAGTGGTAGAACTTACCACAACAACAGGAAGTATAACCATAAACGCCAATCCATACACAAGTAAAACCTAGAATTAAAGAGAGAGAACAGTTATGCCTTGGTCTGGTAAGTTAAAACAATGTTCAGAATTACAAAGAGGACTCACTATTAAAAACACTCTGTTATTGAAGGTACTTGGTTTTTTGCGGACAGCATAGCTGAAGTACAAACATTACAGAGCTTGTCCTAGGTCATACAGGTTAACAGTGTTACATGGAAACTCTAGAGCTTTAGTCTACTATACAAATCACCTTTTAATTTTCTATTTACTGATCTAATATAGATAACTGCAAAAATTCTATAAATTATGCCTTCCTTCCTGTCAAGCATTTTTTATATTTTGCAAGTAGTGCTGTGAAATAAATTATAAGCCCTTTCAAACTAACTCTGGTGCCTAACTACACATGTGCCATTTTATTATTTTTTATCTGATAGTAACTATTGAATTTTCACCTACAGCTTCGTCTGAAATCTGTCAGCTATCTTTCCTTTTTCTATTATTCCTACAGTAACCCTAAGTATGACAGATGACAAGCAGCAAGTATAGATTACCAATTTTAATGTCACAAAATAACTATTTTCAAAACAAAACTATAGCTAAACTGTGTGTATTTGGCTTTTAAGGTTTAAAAAAAGAAGGCTCCTAAGATGAGCAAGATGGCTCAGTAGGCAAAGGCGCCTGCCACCAAGCCGTAACTACCTGAGTTCAGTCCCAGGACCCACACGACAGGAGATAACCAACTCCAGCAAGTTATCCTCTGACCTCCACATACATGCTGTGGTCTGAGCCCCGAGCCCCCCTCCCCCCATAGAAAGGGAGAGAGAGAGGGAGGAGGAGAGACAGAGACAGAGACAGAGACAGACAGACAGACAGACAGACATCTAAAAATAACAAGGAAAAATTAAATTAAAACAGCTCCTAGATCATTACTTTCAGGAAACCTCAAGTAGAAAATCATCAATTTTTAAACTATATGAAGACAATTCCTCATGTTTTAGGGCTGCAGCAGAACAGTGATGGAAGTCTGTCTCATGTCCCTCTGCTTCCTAGTATGGAATAGGTATGTTTCAATTTAACATAAAGTAGCTTAGCTTGAGTAAAGGTGAAAGGTAAATTATAAATTCATCTTAGATAAATATGGCTATCATAAAATCTAATAGTTCTCAAACCAAAAGTAGTACAATACCCAAAAATACTTTCAAAATAAATTAGTAAAACTTGAAGGTTTCAAACTTACATTTAGATGCATTGTTGCTGGATGGTGATGGCACACGCCTCCAGCACTCAGGAGGCAGAGGTAGGCAGATATCTGTGAGTTCAAGGCTAGTCTGATCTACACAGTGAGTTTCAGGACAGACTGGGTTACATAGAGAAACCCTGTCTTGAAAAAAAAAAAATTAAACAACAACAAAACCTAAAATACATTGTCCTAAACCAGCAGTGTAATAATGAGTCCCAATTCTTTTCTCTTGCCATGTAGTGTTCAAAACACAGCAAAAACTTAAATAGCTTGTGTTTCTTTGTAGACACTTCATTACACCTTAATACCTTAATACAGTATATGAAAAAAAAGTATATCAAGAACATCAGAATAGGCCTTATTTAAATGCACTCACCAGAATTGAGTTTTTCTGGTCAACTATCCAAGCTGGCAAGGCAATTCCAAAGCTCGTAGCTGAAATAAAATAAGTAATTTTTCAAAAAACCCTGCCTTCCATTTTATTTATCTATATCTCAAAATTAAGTTCCTTCCCCATTTCCCAAAAAACTTGAAGATGACATTATATTTATTTCCATTATACAAACCTAAAACAAATCATCCAGGCATGTACAACTTTTGAGAGACTGAGGCAGGAGGATCACTGGAAGTTCAAGGTCACCATGGATGACACACTGAGACCCTGTCTCAAAATAAATAAATGTATGCATATATGCTACAAAATAGTATGCATATGAAACTTCATAGTTTTCAATAGGGAAACTTTTCACACATTTTTTTTTCTAGAAAACCCAAACTCTTTCATGCCTTTAATTCAATATAAACAATATGAAAATGCAAGAAATTAGTTTTGCTCATGGTGTGCACACATGTATGCATGTTCATATGTACAGAAATATGTGTACATACATGCAGGTGCCATGCATATGGAGAATGGTTTTTTATTATTTTTCAATTGTAAGTATTGTATGTATGTGTTTGTATCTGTGAATAGGTATGTACACATTGAGTACAAGCACCCTCAGAGACCAAGACCACATCTCCCTGGAACTAGAATTACAGGCAGTTTGGAGCTGCTCAACACAGTGCTGGGAACTGGTCTTTCTTTTTGATTTCAACATATTTTTATTGATTATTTGGGAATTTCACATAATGTACCCCAATCACACACACACTTCCCAATCCTTCCAGGCCTAACCCCCTCATCCTGACCATCCCCCCCCAAAAAGGAGGAGAGGGAGGAGGAGGAGGAGAAGTAGTAATAGCAGTACCAAGTCCAATTTTTGTTGGGAACTGAAGTCTTTTAAAAAGAAAAATCAAGCAAAAAGTAAATGGAGAGGCTGGGAAGACTGATCAGTAGATCAGTAGTTAAGAGCACTTGCTGTCTTTTAGGTTGTGAGCCTAGCCTTTGAGCCATCTCTCCTACCCCAGCTAGCTCATCACTTAAGAACATTTGTTGATCTTGCAGGGAGCCTGGGTTCAGTTCCTAGGAACCACAAAGTGGCTCACAACCATCCATAACTCCAGTTTCAGGGGATCCAACATCCTCTTATCTTACACACACATAAGCAAAACACATAAAATAAATTTGAAATAAAAAAGAGTGCTTGTTGCTCTGTCAGGACTCAGGTTCGGTTCCCGGCCTCACAGGATGGCTAACAATGGCCCCGTAACTCCAGCTCTAGGAAACCTGATGCCCCCCCCTTCTGATCTCTGTTGACACAAACATAAGTTTTATATATATATATATGTATGTATGTATGTATGTATGTATATATATATATATGTATGTATGTATGTATGTATGTATATATATATATATACACACACACACACAAAATGTTTTTGAAAAGTAAAAAGTTCAATTTTACATACACATAAACAGAAAAATCAGTATCCCTCTTATTCTAGTTATTATTTTCATAATATATAATACTACCAACATTTTTATAGTCACCGCACCTTGAGGCCCATCTGGATTTCCAAATTCTTCCCAGTTTTTCCGAGACTCTTCATCTGTTAAACTATATGAAGAAAACAAGGTATCAAAATTAGAAAGCCATAACACAAAAAAGTATTCAAATGTAAAAACTTTATTAGACAGTCAATACCTTTGTTTTTAGATTTCTTTATTTACTTATTTGCTTGTGTGTGTGTGTGTGTGTGTGTGTGTGTCTGTGTATCAAGGTCTAGGAATTAGACCTTGATACAAATTCCTGGTTAGTTCAAGTTTAGCCAATTAAATCAGGGCTATATCCTCTAAGAATGTAAGATTTTAAGTAACTTATTTCCTAAGTCAATTTTCTAAAATTTCTCCAGTGAGCACACATTAATAATTTAAAATACAGGAGTTAATTCCAAAACACTGGCACTCTGCTCTCAAGAAGTAAACATCACTGTAAAACTTCACTGTTGTGGAAAAAAAAGGCTCTTCTAAGCCAAGTGCCAGAAGAACTAGGAAAATAACTTCCACACAAGAACTTTCAGGTCAGGCAATATAAAAGTGATGGAATGATTTAACACCTAAATAAAATGTAAGTCCAGACCTGGCCAATAGCGCAAAGCAGAGAATTTAAATGACTCTATTTCAGATTCCAGTATACATCATAAAAAACACTAGATGAAAATCTCAACTCTTCAACAAACCTGATAATGCTTTGGAAACAAAAAAGATAATAGCCAAACCAATTCCAGGCAGAAAGAACACAGCCAGAAGCATCGTATTACCTAACTTAAAACTACACTACAGAGCCGCAGTGATAATGACAGCATTGTACTGGTACAAAATCAGACATGGAGATCAATGGAACAGAACAGAAAATCAGAAATAAATCCATAGTTGTGAACACCTAAGCTTTGATAAAGGTGTCAAAAACATACACTAAAGGTAAAAAGTCTTTTCATCAAATGGTGCTGGCAAAAAAGGATATAAACCTCAAGAATGAAATTAGACCCCTATCTCTCACCCTGCATGCATGCATATACACAACACACACACACACACACACACACACACACACACACACACACACACCAACAACCAACAAAATCCCCTGAGGAACTTTTGAGTTTGAAGACATACTGATCCAGGGCTACATAGTGAGACCCTACTTTTTGTTTGTTTGTTTTTGTTTTTTTGGGGGGGAGGGGTGGTTAATAAATGTATACATTTCTGGGTATATATATGTGAACAAAACAGCTTTTTTTTTTTCTGAGTTGTGGGAAATCAAACCCTAGGGCTTGTGTATACTTGGCAGGTATTCTACTGAACTCTACTTCAGCCCATAAGGTTCTTAACAATAACAATATATCTTACCTATGTCTACATCTAGGTCAACAAGATAATAATCCAAAAGTTCTCAAAAGATTTTTAGGAAGGTTTGGGAGGCAGAGCAGATGGACAGATACCTTAAGAATCTCTTAACTCAAGCTGGTGAGATGGCTCAGCAGGTAAAGACACTTGCTCCCAAGCCCAGCTCCACACATTTGCAGTGACACACATACATACAAATAAATAAGTAAATAAACAAAAATCTACATCTCAGCAAATAGAGTATCTTAACAATAAAGTAACTAGAAATAATCTATTATAATGAAATTCTGTAAGAATACCAAAATAAAGCACTTAAACAGTTCAAATAGAAAAACACATTGTCAAAACAGGAGAAATGAAGCTGGTTTAACAAAAGCCTCAAAGAGAAAATAAAACTAAAACATATAGCTTCTATTCAGGATGGTCACAAAACTTCTCAGTAAAACTCAGAAATAGTTACTACATTGTGGTGGTTTAAATGAGAACGATCCCTATAAGCTCAAGTATCTACATACTTGTTCTACATACAAAAGACCCAGTGGTCTTTTGGAGAAGGTGTGTCACTGGGGGTGGGCTCTGAGGGTTCAAAAGGTCATTCCAGGCCCCATCTTGTTCTCTCTATCTCAACCCTTCAAATGGGATATAAGCTCCCAGAACCATGCCTGCCTGCCTGCTTGCCTCCATGCTCCTGCCATGATGATCATGGACAAGCCCCCTCAAACTGTGGCCCTGATTAAATACTTTCTTTTATAATCTTGGTCACAGATCTCTTCACACCAAAAACACTTACTAAGATTTAATTAAACTTGGCAAAATCACTTCTCCAAGTGCTAACTCACAACTTGTGGTTTAATTAAACTGCCACTTTAGAGCTGCTGAGTAGGTCCATAAAAGTCAGGTTCAAATATACATGGTTAATATTCAAGAAAACTGTATGACATTCATTTTACTTACTACTTTCTTTAAAAAGTATAACAGGCCCTATGATACTTACGCTGCATAAGCTTTTGCTATCCTCATGAACATAACTTCATCACCTCCTTTATCTGGATGATATTTAAGTGACAACAAGCGATACTGTTTCTTAATTTCTGCTACTGTTGCTCCCTAAAAGGAAAAGCTTTGTTAATATATAAGAACACAATGCAAGAAGAAATAACACTATTTTTGTCTTAACCATGAACTACTCAATATTCTGACAAAAGAAAATAACATTTTCTCCTATACATTTTGTCTCCCAAATTTCATCTGCTATATCTTTTGTTCAATACAGTTATTTTTATCAAGCATTTAACTAATGGCATGCAATATACTACTAGTCACTGACGGTAATGGTGGTGAAACCATATAACTCCACATTTAAATACAAGTGCACTAGCTTTAAATATCAAAAAATAATCAGGAGTAAACTAATGCAGTTAAGTCAAAGATCTGCTGTCTTTATATTCTGAGCAGTATCTCATTGCATCTGTTTGCCAGTGTCCTAATATTAATATTTTAAAAAAGAACTGGCATTGATTCTCAATCTCACTTTTTACCAGTAATTTTGTATCATTTTTATTTCCCTACATCTTTTTATTATACTCTTAGTAGCCATGATGATTACAAAGAAAAAACACACTGGGCTGGAGAGAGAACTTGAGGGGGTGGGGTTGTTAAAGTTCATAAAGCTCTTAGAAATGGTACACAAGTCTAGTTCCCAGCAAGAACAAACTATGGGCAGCTTCAGAGGATCTAGAAACCCTCTGATGGCTTCTGAATTCTCACAAATCCACACTCAGACACACACTTAAAAATAAAACCTTGAAAAATTGTTTAAAAGAAAAAAATCAAATCCAAGAGCTATTATATGCAAATTTTTCTTCTACAAAGCAGAAAACTAGATGAACATTCTCCTCTAATTTGTATTATAGCAACTTCAAAACCAAGCCATCCACTGAAGAAGACTGAAGTTTAAAATCACAACCACTAGATTCAGTCTGCCTACTAAGCTGTTACAGGACATAGTTCTCCCAGCCTCATTCTCTCTTCACTCCAGTTCTAATGTTCTGTAGTTTATCAACCAAAACCTCCCCCAAAGAACATACTCAAGGATTACCTAAAGCAATGATAATGACAAGTTTTTATGAGTACCCCAACTCAAACGTAGGATATTACATGTGTCAATCAACATGAATATATTTTTAAAATACAGTAACTTCTCATCAAGTAATCTTAAATTCTTATGTGATAAACTAATACTAGTAGCAATCAACAATAGAACAAATATATTGAAATTATAATGAATAAGATCTTATTTTTTTAAAAAAAGTTAACTGACAGGACTGAAGAGAAGGCTTGGTGAATAAAATCTTGTACTAGCCTCCCTGAGGTCCTGAGTTCAGATCCAAGCACCCACATCAAGCAGCCTAAAACCGCCTGCAAACTCCAAGGGATCTGACAGTCTCTTCTGCCCTGAGCATACACACAACACAGATACACATAAATGAAAAATACAAAAGTTAAAAAAAAAAAGTTAACAGTTCAAATTCTGATTTCTTTTGGAAATGTCTAATTTGTTTTAGAGTGCAGACCTTTAGTATTTAGGTTATTGTTAAATTAATTATATCACATAAGAATGTTACTTACAGGATCCAAGTTTAATACTTCATAAGGATTGTACTCCTGATATTCTCGGTCTGTTTTGGAAACTTTGTATGCAAGGAATAAGAACAATGCCCATCCTGCAAGCAGAACTATTTTCCTGTTTAGGAAAAAGACAAATGACATAAATAAATTCAACTGTATGGCTTTCTGCAAGATCAAGGAATAAAACAATTTAAGGTAGCACCTTACCACTATGCTACACAACTGACTTAAATTTGTAAATTCCTGTTATAGCAAGGATAGTGTCTTTTTCACTTCTGAATTCTCTAGAATCTAGTAGAGTGCCTTTCATATAATAGATGTTTCCAGTTTGCAGACGTAAATACAGAAATTAATACTAGACTCATTAAAGTAGATAAAAAATACATAAAGGTTAAGCAACCAAGAAACCACTTAATGTAAAAAGGTTACTCTTGACCTTGAAATTATATAGTTAGTAAGATGAATTTTAAAAAATTGACCAGGTACACAAAGATGAATAAATAGCCTTCTTTAAATTGTAAACTTTGGAAATATTCTAATGTCCATCAGCAATAACTAATTTAGGGAGAATAGTCAAACCATGATGCAGCCTCACAAAAGAACATTCTATATCTAACATGTAAAAAAATATGCACTAGTAAAAGATATAAAACAATTAGAAAAAAAATGAATTTTCTTCTCTCAACTGTATTCTATATAGTAAAAAAACAAATACAAGCATCTTTAAATGTCCATCAATGAATTACTAGGCAAAATAATAATAATTTTAATCATTTAACCAGAGTAAAACACTTTATAGTAAACTAAAGTAGAATCTGTCATGAAAGATTTTTTTAATGTTAAATTTGAAAGGAAAAACAGCTTTCAAGCTTTGTAAAACACAATCTAATTTCTATAAACAGAAACATGATTAGAAATAATATGAAGTAATCACTACCTTTAGGTGAAACTATTATTTAGATCCTTTGTACGACAATTTGTTGCAATGAATATGATTTGTTAGACAAAAATATAAAATAATCAAGCAAAACTGGAATGACTGGTTTTAAGGACAAAGGCACTTATCATTTGGAAATGATCCTCTCTCTCTCTCTGGAATCACCTAAAATGATTCCTGAATTTTCTGCTTACCCAATTTTCAATATTTTATTCTTTAATGTTTCATAAGCTTTCCCACAATCATGCATTTGCTGTCTTGTATCTGTCAAAATCTCAGTCCCCGTGTGTGTGTGTGTGTGTGTGTGTGTGTGTGTGTGTGTGTGTGTGGGTGTGTGTCTGTGTGTGTGTGTGTGTGTGTGCGCGCGCGCGCACAGGCCTATCTACACAAACTCTATATTCATCCTTCAAAAGCAATCCTTTGAAGAGAACACAGTTACAGCTACAAAGCAAAACCAGTAATAACTTTTTTCTCATTGACTTGATGCAAATTCCTTGGACACCTGAACAAGATCTTATTCAGTGTTTACTAACCCCTGAGTAGTTTTAAATAACAATGGGAACTGAGAGACACAAGTCTCCTTCCATTTGTCCAAAACAATATTCTAACCCAACCTACCTCCTCCATCTCCCTCTCTCAGGAAGGATCTCATATATCCTAGGCTGCCCATAAACTCTCTATGTAAAGGAAGATGGCTTTGAACTTCTGATCCTCCACAGAACACACAGTGTGCTAACTGTACAGACATGCACCACCATACCTGATTTACAGGGTGCTAGGGATCAAACAAAGGCTTCCTGCATGGTTGGCCAGCACTGTACAAAAATCCCAGGCATATTTTAAATCTTTTAAGGGTATATAATTTCAAGCTGTTTTCCAGCCCACCTAAATGCCCACATATATGCCCAAAGAGGAGAGAGAACCCTATGTAGAACATCCTACTCTATAAAACTCACTAGCTCAACCCCCACCATTATTACATATCAATTATGAAAAGTCTGGGAACTTCCATGAAGGGTTATACAATTAAATGAGATTTAGAATGTTATGTACTTTCAAAGTGACTCATATAGTAAGCATAATCAATTCATGGGCTATTACTAGTAACTCTTCCCCAAGTCTCAGGTGCTAGGAATATAGATCAACAATAGAACATTTAACTAGCATTTGCAAGGTTCAGCCCCACTACCACACACACACACACACACACACACACACACACACACACAGACAAAAAAAAAACAAAACCTTACCCACACTTACAGCCCACTCAAAAAGCCTTCCCTGTCTTGGGCCACATGAGCCCTTCTGCTGCTCTTCCATAGCAAGCCCTCTCCCAGTCCTTACTGCTATGGTTTAGCAGTAAAAGTACAAAAAAGTGGTAGAACCAGGGTTGAGGAGACAGTTCAAAGGACAAGTCTGAGAATCAGAATTCATATCTCTAGCACCCACATAAAAGCCTGGCAGGTGTGATTGCCCATTAAACCCCAGTGCTTGAGAGGCAGAGATGTGATCCCTGGGGCAAACTGGCTAGATACACTAGCCAGGTTTAGGGAGAACCCCTGTACAATTTTAAATGTCAGCTTGTCACAGTCTAGATCACCTGAATAAAAGAACCTCAAAAAAGAGATTGCCCAGATCAGACTGGCCTATGGGCATGTCTAGGAATCGTCTTGATTGTTAACTGATGTAGGAAGACCGAGCCAGCCCACGTGGGCAGCCTCATTCCCTAGGCAGAAAGTAAAGTCCTAAACTACATAAAGATAGAAAAATCAAGATTAAAGATAACTGGCAACAGCTAAGTACTGAGTCAAATTGCTGGAATCCAGCTGTGGAGAGGGAGGAGTGATAAGCAAAGAGGTCAAGACCACACTGGGGAAACCCACAAAAACAGCTGACCTGAGCAAGTGGGAGCTCAAGGACCCAAGACTGATAGCTGGAAACCTTCGTAAGACCGAAGGAGGCCTCCTGAACGTGGGTGTCAGTTGGATGGCTTAAGCAGTCTATGGGGCCTCTGGAAGTGGAACCAGTATTTATCCCTAGTGCACTAATGGGTTTTGGGAGCCCATTCCCTATGGAGGGATACTCTCTTGGCCTAGATACATATGGGAGGACCTAGGTCCTACCCCAAATGATGGGACAGACTGTGATTATCTCCCGTGGGAGACCTCACCCTCTCTGAGGAGTGGATGGGGGATGGTAGAAGGATGGAATAGAGAGGGAACTGGGATTGGTATGTAAAATAAATTGTTTTTAATTTAAATAAAAATTAATTAAAAAAAAAAACTGGCAGGAAGAAGGTAGAATAGTTGTCTGCCCAGAATACAATCTCTGCCTTTGACTGTGACTAGCAACAGAAATAAAACTAGAACACCCTTCACCTCAGTAAAGTAGAAAGTAATCAAGGAAGACACCAGAAGTCAACCTCTGGCTTCCACATAAATGCATGCATGCTTACCTGAAGACATGCACCCACTCAATTTGGATGCACATGTACATGCACACTGTACGCAGAAAGATGTAGTGGATCTTTCTTTAAAAGATGAGGTTTGGGGGGCTAGAGAGATGGCTCAGTGGTTTGTTCTTTCAGAGGACCAAGTTTGGTTCCCAGCACCCATATCAGATGGCTCACAACTACCTATAACTCCGGTTACAGGAGATGTGACACCTCTTCTGGACTCTCCTATCTATGTTTATCTGTAACTGTGTATGTATCTACATATGTATTTCCATATAAATATATATATCCTTCCACCATGATGCCATCTACCAAGTTGTAATGTTATTTCAAAGGTCATAAACAAATGGGGCTGCCATGCCTTGAACTTTGAGCCTCTAAAACAAAAATAAGCCAAATAAGCCTTGTTTCTTTATAAAGTACCCATACTCAGGTATTTTATTACAGTAACAAAGAATGAAATAAATAACATTATTTACTACATGTATTTTAATTGTTTATGTGGCAATCACGAAGGTCCACATCACGAACCAGATCTATTTTGTTAATCACTATGTATCTAGCTCCTTCTATACCTGACTCACGATAGACACACAACAATTATATGTGAAATTAAAAGAAAATTCTAAACATAAAACTAATGTTTGCTAATACTTTTAGGAATCTAAAGAACACTTGAAAATGCTATTCATACACAGTAACTCTTCACTTTGATGAAATCTAAAAGTCTAACAAACCTCATAAAACAGAGATAAAAAAGAAAAATCACAAAGGCAAAGCAAACATAAGGAAAAGAACAAAACATCCCAGATATGCTCAACTCTTATTAGATGCTTCACATTTGGCATCTGTTCTCTGAGCCATGAACAGAAGAGAAGGCTCGTGACAGGATCCCCATCCACTCAACTGATGTAAACTATTCCAATCATAAAACCATTCTCCAGTTTTCACAAAGCCAAAGGGGGTGAGGGGGTACACATGATTGATTACGTTCTGTGTCCAATTTTCTTTTTCTTTTTTTCTTTTAACCATATTTTAAATGTAATTTGGAAGTTACTTCAGAAATGACATAGCTTAGTTTTAAAGATACTGTCAGGAGGGAAGCAGTAGGTAGTGTGAAGTAGAAAGTTTTCATAATTTCTAACTTTATCTAAACTGCTACCAGAATCTACTTAGTCATTCTCTGACCTTCATTCTGAATTAAAGAAATCATTTATGTATTAAGGAAAAGGACTTGAACGTTTTTCCTTGGAAACTGAGGTTCAAGGCTGACAGGATGCTTGGCTTATGGGAAAAGAAGTCTGATGACCTGAGTTCAATCCCCAGAGTCCTCATACAGTGTGGAAGAAAAGAACCAGGGCTATCCTCTGTCCTCCACACTGATGCCCACATACACACACAATAGATAAATTAAGAAAAAAAAAAAAAATGAAAATGGAGACAGGTGGTGGAGTCTCACACCTTTAATCCCGGCACTCGGGAGGCAGAGGCAGGTGGATCTCCTTGAGTTTGAGGCCAGCCTGGTCTACTGAGCAAGTTCCAGGACAGCCTCCAAAGCTATAGAGAAACCCTGCCTTGAACACCCCCCCCCAAAAAAAAAAGAAAATGGAGGTTCAGGTGCCTGAAGTATTGAACAAAAATGAGGTAGGGTAGGGGCTTGAGACTGAGAAATAAAAATTATTGGCCTAAAGTTGGGAGTGGCAGTCCCAAACTTTTAATCCACAGAAGCTCAGAAGACAGAGGCAGATGGATGCCTGAGAGTTCAAGGACAGCCTGATCTACACAGCTAGTTTCAGGCCAGCGAGGGCTACACAGTGAGAACCTGTCTCAAAACAAAAAACAAAACAAAACAAAAGGTGGTGTATGTGTATGCTTATAAAATTTTAATTTAAAATGAGAAAAAACAGCAAATAAAAGTGAACAGAAAACTATACTGGTCTCAGTGCTAACTCTCCATTTAGATTCACACCACTGAGTAATAAATATCACCAAAGCTAAGATTCCCTCTCTGTGCAAAAACAAAAACAAAACAAACAAACAAACAAAACTATTTCAACCCTCTGAAGTAATACAACTATGTTTAAAACTATCCTCCACTGGGCTGGAGAGATGGCTCAGAGGTTAACAGCACTGACTACTCTTCCAGAGGTCCTGAGTTCAATTCCCAGCAACCACATGGTGGCTCACAACCATCCGTTATGAGATCTGGTACCCTTTTCTAGTGTGCAGATATACATGGAAGCAGAATGTTGTATAATAAATAAATAAAATCTTAAAAAAAATAACTATCCTCCGCATTTAAACCCAGATTTAAATTAACTGTTTCAACTAACTCTTAATCCTTTACTAGATTTACTCTTTCTAGAATAGGTAGATGTGGGTAATTCACTAGACACTCTTCTACAGTAGCAACCTCCTGTTCCCATCATAGATAATCTAATGACTGAGCTAAATAAAGATTTGACATAAATAAGGCCAGCGTGAAGCACTCACAGAATCAAACTCTTGCTAGTGGCAACAGATGAGCCTGCCAAAATTAAGGTGGTAAAGTCCTGCTCCACAGTATTCATTACATGACTGGCCAAATCAACTCAGTTCTTAGCTTCAGCTTAAGGAAAGTCATAAACACCTTGAAGTTAACACAGAATCAAATAAGCACATTAAGCATATGGCAACCCATGTGTTAAACTTTAGTTATCATCTTGAAATTCATGCCTGATCATGCCAATCTTTGAAATCTTTATGATTTCCATCTAGGCTTCAACATAAAACTCTAATCCTAGGACATAATATATACAGTCTTCAAACAAGGGCTGACTCACATACCCTTCTCGTTTTGACTTTTAATCTGTCCACAGCTCTCAAGTTTACTGATCAAACCTCACCTCTCTCATAGGCTACAATTTCTTAACAGCCATACATGGAAGCCATTCTGGGATTCCCTAATTCATAATACCTAACAAAGAGTAAGCTCTCAGTATGTTTTGTTATTGAAATCCATTACTTACTTTACTGTAGGAATAATATTTGGCTGTGGTTTTAATAACCGTAAACGATACCACATACATCTTCCATATACTTTTCTGATATTCTTTAATCGAATTTGCTCTGTCAAGAAAGAAAAGTAAGACGAGTTAAATTATTTTTCACAATGAAATCTGAACCAGAATTAATATCATACTAACCTTTATTATGCTAACATTTTGTTGAAACATAAAATCTTGCCTATTTATATAACCCTTATAAAAATTCATAAACTATACTAAGTTGTCTGTCACTTATACCAAATATTATCTGGAAAAGTTTAACTAGTAAGAAGTAAATATTTTCATGTGAAACGTCTCTAAAAATTTAGAAACTAATTTGAACTTGTAATATCTTGGTCATATAATCAACTGTCTGAACATTTCTCTATTCTCTTCTTTTCTAGAACAAAATGTATAAAATAATTAAAATATCATTTATTTAGTAACCAAGGAGAAACAATATTCAAGTATAGAAATAATTACTTAACAAGATATATTTTAACCAACTAGGTTCAGAATTTTATCCACTGAAAATATGTAACTAACAGAATTTATAGTTCTAACATGGAAATCAACTAATAGATAAAAAGAAGACAGTAAAATTCAGTATCACAAGTTTTAATTATTTTATGTTAAATTTGGTAAAGTGGGCCAATCAGTAAGAAATTAAGACAGGTTTGTATAAAAGTTGTGACAAAAGTTATGTTGGTCACTATGAAGAATTGCAATTCACTTGGCACAATCATTTAGTTTCAATAACTCCTCCCCAAATTTTAAAACCATGATTAAGGGGCTGGAGAGATGACTTAGCAGTTAAGGGCATGGCTGTCTAGTTCAAATGGGCTGTGAAGCAGCTCTATGATAGCAGTGAAGTTACAGTCAGCATACTAAACCATCCTTATGCTCAACAATTCCATAGCTCCTGGCTATGATGCCTGTAATGTTCCCAAAACAGTTGGGATCATGTAACCTGAGTCCATCTGGGCTAATTCTGTTGTTTTGTTTTTACTTCCTAGGAAAACCCATTTGTACTTTTATCATCCAAAACTGTTATGAAAATAAATCTGTGCTGTTTTACGTCACTATATGTGATGATCTGTTACAACAGCAACAAAAAATTAATACATAAAACCTGACAGACAACACTTTAAGTGAAGTGACCAGTGAATAGTGTCAGTAAAAGAGCAAACTGAAATTATACACCACCTGACAAAACGCAATGAAAAGAACAGACTCATCGGATATAAAATCTGAATCTCATCATGAAAATGCACCAGACAACCCAAATTAAAGTTCATTCTATTAAATAATTAGTCTATAATATTTAAAGTCAGGGAAGACAAAGAACTATTCAGGACTTAAAGGAAGACTAAAGAAACATGTCAACTAAATGTGATGTATAGTTCTGAACTTGAATCTCTGCTACAAAGGACATCACTGAGACAATGACAAAACCCAAATGGGGTCTGACAGTAAGACAGTAATGTCAAATCTTCTGATTTTGTGGTTATATTATGAACTTAAAAAAATACCACTGAAAAATTTTAATCTGCTTTTCATTAAATTAAGCTTCAACAGACTCCCATTTCAAGTATAAAACTGTAAACCCCTTTATAAGATTTTGTAATAATAATTCTTAAGTCTATGAACCAGATAGCTTGATTTAATCAAAGGAAAAAAATTCTCCTAATGTCCCAACTAAAAGAGCATACACATGGTCTGCAGCCTTGCAAAATATGTATCTACACCTTACAAGCCATGCTCTCCAACCCTAAAAACAATGTCTTAGCCCTTTGGAAGAGTTATTTAAGTCAATCAATACGTATTATAGATGACAGCTGCATATTATCATAATACTTAAATTTGCAGCACAATTAAATACTCATAGTACGCATTCCAAACTGGTATGTAACAAGTCAAAGAAACCTATCTTTTTGTACTTTTAGCTTTCATATGTGTCTATGTACTATGTGTGTGCCTTGTGCCCATAGAGGTCAGAAGAGGGCATCAGATTCCCTAGAACTGGAGTTATGGATGGTTGTAAGCTGTCATGTGGGGGCTGGGAATCAAACCTGGGTTCTCTGCAAGAAGTGTACTGCTGAGTCCCTTCTCCAAATCGTTGTACATTTACCAACTTCTACGTAGAATTACTAGTTTCAGAGACTAATTAGTAATACCATTAACTTAACTTACAGCATAATATTGTTTTTGTTTTAATGTGAGCATGCCTCCCTCCTGTTTGTCTATATGTGCGTCACATGTATACTGGAGTTGACAGAGACCAGAAGAGGGCGCTGGAACCCCTGGAACTAGAGTTAGAGATGGTTCTAAGTCATCATGTAGATGCTGAGTCCTCTGCAAGAGAAGTGCTCTTAACCTCTGAGCCATCCCTCCAGTCCCTAAGACATGGTCTTTAAAGAAAGGATCCATTTATAGATACAAGTTATGTAAGAAGTTATAAAGCTAATTGTTTTTCAAATTCTAATTCTGTCCCGGATTTTCTGGTTTTGGTGGCAGAAAAGTACATAAAATGTATTTTGATACTGAAGGTGTAAAATTTAATGTAAAGCTCCACATTCCAAATGCCTATTCCAACTATGTAAGCCCACTATGTTGTATAAACTATTGACCTGGTTCATTTTGGTGTGTGATGTTTTTATTTGTTTAAAATTTTTTATAACAAAGTTTCTAAAATTAAGAAAAATATAGGAAAAATAAATACTGTTCTAACCTAACTGGCCTAAATAAAACTATCAAAAAGATCTGATTTCATTTTTCAGCTGAAGTAAGTCTATCAGTACATTCTTTGATAGGTTAAAGAATACAAACACAACCAAGAAATAAATTTTAGAATACACCTCATCTGTAAGTTACTAACCTTGAAAAATGACATATGCAATTTATTGTGAAATCTACTTAAAAGAAAAAAAGATGGGCTACTTTTTTCTAAAATTCCTGAAGCCATTTCCTGAATCTTAAGGTGTCCAGAAAATAGTAAGAAGAATTAAAGATTATATTCAACATCCCAAGAAATTTGAGAATATCAGTTTTCTACTTACCTGAGATCTTTCTGCATTTATTGACACTGTATCACCTAACTTAGGCAATACCTGTCCACTGTCTACAGTTTTTAAAAATCAGTTAAAGAGGACTGGTAGTTTGAATAAGAATGTCCCACAGGCTCAGATGTTTTGATACTTGGTCCTCAAGTGGAGGACACTGTTTGGGGAGGCTTGGGAGATGTGGCCTTGTTTGGAGATATGTCACTGGAGATAGGCTTTGAGAATTTAAATGTAAATAATGCTATTTTAAGTTCACTCTCTGCCTCCTGCTCCAGCTTGCTGCTTGTTGCCATGTTTCCCCACCAAACAGACTGATTCGCCTGGATCCATAAGCCAAATAAAACCTTCCTTCTATAAACTATCTTGGTCATGGTGTTTTATCACAACAGAAAAGTAACCAATACAACAGACAAGCAAGTTTTTCTACAATAGTGTTTTGTGGGGTTTTTGTTTTGTTTTAGGATGTTTGAAAGGATGAAAAGAATGAAGTCATATAGAAGTGGAAAACTGAGAATCATAACTCTAAACTACAAATAAAAATGATCTAGTCATCCTAACAGATAAAGAGAATAACAGAAACTAAAGGTTCTTTGACATATTTTTTAATTTTGATTTTTTTCCCCCATTACATTCTTAACTTGGAGGGTTGTCTTTTGTTCTGGCTGGTTTAGAACCATTTGTACTTGGAAGAGACAGAAATGTCACTAATACTTGCTTACCATCCCCACCACCCAGTACACAATAAGGGAATCCACCTATGCAAATGCTGACAATGGAGAAGGAACACAGGAGATAACTGATCAACAGAGCACAACTCATAAGGCAAGTGTGAGACTTTCCCATCACCAGAAAAGTTCCCAATCCCCAGGAAGCTATGACAAAAAGAGTACGAACAGATCAAGAGCTAGCCTGTCTTCCTGAAACTAGCAACTGAATGGACATCAGCAAGTGTTTATGCAATATACACATCTACTTTAATTTTCTTTTCCTTTTATGGTACTAAAAACAAGTACTTCAAAGTAGGTTTTCTTTTTTTAAACCTTAGCATTACTGGTATCTTGAAGTCAATTCTTTGTTTTCGATTGCTAACCTGTATACTACAGTTTATCATTATAATAGTATTAACAGGTAGGTGCCAAAAGCACCCACTTGGTGGAAAACAATTAGACATTCACAATGGGGTTGGAAAGATCACTCCCAATAGGACTGGAGAGATAGCTGGTGGCTAGGAGCACTTACAGCTATTGTAGACAACCTCTGTCCAGTTCCCAGAAAGCACACGATAGCTTACAACCATCAGTAACTCCAGTTCCAGGAGATTGGACATCCCTTTTGGCCTCCTTAGGTATTGCATGCAAATGGTACATCGAACCAAGCTAAGCACCCATACACATAAAATAAAAAGGAGGCAATAGATAGATAGATAGATAGATAGATAGATAGATAGATAGATAGATAGATAAAAGAAAAGGAGGAAGAGGAGGAGGAAGAAGACAACAACGATGACCAACCACTCCAGACATTGTTAAATGCTACCCATGAGACAAAATTGCCTCCAATTTCATCCCCTCCTTCTCATAAAGTGTTTATCAAATTAAAGATAAATGATATGGCTTAAAAATTGAAGACAGGGAAGATTGGGTTTAAAACCAACAATGGTTTAAGAAATATTAATCATCTCCTTCCAATCCTCTAAAAGTATCCTTCCGGTAAAAAGAGAATCTTATTTTAAAACATTTAAAAAGCAAACAGTAACAACAAAAGGCCTGAAGAAAGTCCAGAATAATAATAGTTAATGTTTATCTGCCATTTTTTGCATGTCATCTAAAGGCAAATCAATAACAGACTGTTAACTCTAGGGGTATAGTTCTAAGTATTGGTTGGCACTGTAAGCAAATTCTGTAAAAAACACTTTTAAAATACCATGACTGAGGCTGGAGAGATGACTCATCAGTTAAGAGCACTTGTGAGCTCTAACAGAGGACCTAAGACCAGTTCCCAGCACCCACATCAGTTCATC